ACCCCCAAAAATTGCTTTAAGATGGCTTTTAAAGTAATCTAATGATCAAATCTACACGTTAGAATCCTTTTGGTTAAGAAGATGAATAAGAAGCTCTCAAAAAAAAAAAAAAAGAACAAAAATTTGGCGTCCTATTATTTTTTGGGTTTAATGTTAAGATTTGATACTAGAAAGAAACGGTTACAGTTACATACTAAAACGGAAAAGCACCCTTACAGCTTACCCAAAATTGGAACCAAGCAAAATCAATATTAAATCAGATGAGAAATACAACCAAATTAAAATTCAAGGAGAAAAAAAGAATTACGATCTTTTGGAGGGAAGGATATAAGTCTGTTTTGCATACTCCGATCCACCAAAGCCTTGATGATATTCAAAGGAGAGGAGGTTGTTGTGAAGATCGGTACATTACGCTCTCGCTTTGATGATATTCAATGGAGAGGAGTCCCCTTATTTGTCTGAAATGTTACTATTTTCGTGATATGTTACTATTTTCGTAATATATATGTCCTCGTATCTTGTGCTACTAGAATGACGATAAGAATCTCGTACAATAATTAAATTTCGTGCACACATGTTTTCGCATCCAAACATTAAGATAATATGCCACGTGAGTCTTGAGCCTCCCTCATATCGTAAGATAAGATATCAATAAGATTTTTTTTTTTAATTAATTTGTTGATTGCCCCACTATTATGTTTTTAATCTTTTTATGTGGCCAGTAAAAAGAAAGTTTACATAACGGTGAATATTATGATCATTTTGGCACTATAAATATGACGAGTGGAGAGTCTGAAAGTTTCATCCAATCCTCTCCTCTCTCTCGCTGGCATAACTCATACTTGAGAGATGGCAAGCAAGTGTAATTTGATGAGTGTTGTGGGGGCACTATTGGTATTGAGCATCTTCCATGATCCGACCGTCGTCTACGCCGGTGAAGGTGTTCCGAATGTAGCGTTGTTCACTTTTGGTGACTCCTACTACGACGCCGGAAACAAAGTGTTTCTACTAAACAAAAAAAGAAATCTTCCACAAAACTTGTGGCCTTACGGCAAATCCACCGACTACCCCAACGGCAAATTTTCCGATGGCCGCATCGTCCCCGATTTTATCGGTACGCTCTTTTATTAATATTCTAAAGATATATATATATATATATAAATACAAGGAGCGTAGTTTATATTAAGAAACTAGATAATAATAAATCATGGCTTTTGTATAGGTGAGTTCATGTCCATTCCGAACGGAATCCCACCGGCTCTTAAACCGGATGTTGATTTTTCACGTGGAGCTAGTTTTGCTGTCGCCGATGCTTCTATTCTTGGAGCTCCGGTGGAATCTGTAAGTCTGCCTTTACTATTAAAAGAAAGAGATAGACTATTTATGTTTATCTTTTTAATAACACATGAAGTATATTAGCTTTAAAGATTTTTAACATTAAGGTTTCCTTTCGTTAAGAGTTACAAAAAGAAGAGTTCAAGTCGTTTTTTAATTTCCTATATGTATATACAGATGACACTGAATCAACAAGTGAACAAATTTAAAAGTATGATATCAAAATGGACCGACGACTACATCGAGAAATCAGTGTTTATGATATACATCGGTACTGAAGATTATCTAAACTTCACCAAGACCTATCCAAAAGCAGACGCTTCTGCTCAGCAAGCTTTTGTCACTTCTGTCACTAAGCGATTAAAGAACGACATCAGCGTAAGTTGTCAACAAACCGTATATTATGCGTTTTTGTACATTAATTATGTTCATTTAATTTGACTTACTATTTATGTATGTTTTTGGCTTACATATACTATTCATTTATTTTATAGTTATTATACTCCCTGGGAGCGAGTAGATTCGTGGTTCCATTGCTAGCACCTTTGGGTTGCTTACCGATCGCCAGACAAGAATACAAAACCGGCAACGAATGTTACGAGCCACTCAACGATTTGGCAAAACTACACAACAAGGAGATCGGTCCGATGTTGAACGAGTTTGCTAAAATCCCCAAAAGCGGTTTTCTCTTCACCGTCTTCGATTACTACAACGCCGTTATGCGTAGGATTGCGTCAGGCAGGAGTATTAACTACCGTAAGCTGTCTTCATCATCATAATCAATCTTCACTAACTAATTAAGTGTTGCTTATTGTTTCAGAAATTCAGGGCCGCATATGATTATTATCACTATCAATTTTTTTACTTAGTACAATATTACAAACACAAAAAATACAATGATTTTTATGGAAAGTTTTCTGCTAAGATACGTTGATTATATATCATCAATTATTTTACTAAGTACCATATTACAAACACACAAAAATTATTATCACTAGTTAAGATAACAAACGATACGTAAACCGTACGTGAAGATCATATAATTAAACTTCAATTTATTCACGTTGATCTGTAGGGTTTTACGTGACGAACTCATCGTGTTGCGGGGTAGGGACTCACTTTGCGTATGGTTGTGGAATGGTTAACGTGCACTCGAAGCTATGTGAGTACCAAAGATCTTACTTCTTCTTCGACGGACGTCACAACTCGGAGAAGGCGCAAGAGGAACTTGCAAATCTTCTCTATGGAGCCAATCCTACCGTGATCCAGCCAATGACCGTACGTGAGCTAATCGTCTTTCCGGCTAAGGAGAATATGCGTGAGTTTTGGGAACCCAACAAGTTATCTACTCGTCGCCGTCGTCGTCCATTTCGTGCATCTTACCTCGATGGCCTCGATTTATCAGCTTACTACTAGTTGGATGAATTTGATGAGCTGATGAATCTTTCGTTATATGTATGATGAGCCTACTACTACGTATCTGCTAATGCACTATGTATCGGTGTCGTGCATGGTAATTCGGTTTATGCCGTCGAATAAATTGCTGTTGAGTGAAAAAAATATATATATTAATAATTGCTGTTGAATGTGTTCTTGTAATATCTACGAAGATTAATAAAAAGGTCTTTCTATAGCTTGTTCATCACGCGCTACATAGTATAGGTGTGTAGATATTTTATTTTATATACATAATAATTCTTGACTACAGTATACATATAAACTGTTTTAAAATAAATTTATGAGTATATATGCATGTATATAAATAAATTAAGTACACACACATATATATATATATATTATATGTATATTGCAACTGTTGATTCTACTTTTGATTTTCAACAAAAATTAGTATCACTATTTTGCAGATAAATCAATCAAGGTAATAGCCACATTTGCAATTATCTTTAGCGTTCGTGAATACCTCTGTTGTTGAGGATGGTCTGTGACAACTGACAAGAGAGTTTGTCTCCATTTTCCACGTATACTACAGTGGACGCTAACAAAAACTAGAGTTTTTCATCTGTTCCTGAAAGATTTCCCACTTTTTAAAAAATATGTTGTGGATATCTATATACAAGTCGCGCGTATATATGAATCGTTTTGTTGATATACAAATATATGCGATTGGCAGTTTTCATATTCCATTTCGAGTTTGCTAATACGTTGAGATCAGATCAGTACATAGAAGCTGATAATTTCTAAAGTTGATGAGTGACGTATTGCGAAAGATTAAAATAAGAAGCTGATAATTTCTAAAGTTGAGCGCCGTATTGCGAAAGACAAAAAATTTCAGGGAGTTAATAAATACTAAGTGACAATAATCAAATATCATCAATTGTTAGGTGAGACCATTTAAATCGGGGGTAAAACGTTTCCAGATAAAACATGTTGATGGAGAATTGAATGAGACAAATTACGATGGACGACAAGACAGAGATTCCCAATGAAGAACATGCTGGGCGCAGAATCGCAGATGGATCGAAGAAGAACAGTTTAGAGCCGAATAACTTAGGGATATTAGATATGGTACTAACTTGAATAACGAGAGGCAAAAGTTTTAAGACGGTTATTTTTAAGCCGAATAACTTTTGCTGATATTAATATTTCCAACAACTCGTTATTAAATGAAAACCTAATTCCAATATATATATATATATATATATATATATATATATATATTATATCTGAAATCCTTTTTTTTTCAATCTCAACCTCTTAAAACAGAATTGTATCTAAGGTAAATACGTTATTATTAAGTTTACCCAAAATTTTGCTTTAAGATGCCTTTTTAAGCAATTTAACTAATGTACGTAAAAAAAAGAAAGAAAGCAATTTAACGACCAATCTATACGTTAGAACAAAATAATTTTCTGAAATGTTACAATTTTCTTGATATGGTCGCATAGATTGTCGTACTAAAGTGTCGATAAAAATCTCATAAAGTAACAATTTTCGGGCAAACAATATTTTTTTGATATGGCCTCATATCTTCTCGTACTAAAGTGTTGATATATGGTCAGGTTCGTGCCTATGTGAGTGAAAAAGAAGCATTGGCTTACGAGCTCAAATTTTATAAAAAAACTTGAAGATCCAAAGGCAACAACAGATTTTAGTTAAATATTAAATCTAATATTTAATTAATAAAAAAATAAAGTAATGATTAATGATGATAATTTATTGACGCGATGTGTTTTAACTTTTTTTCTAAAAAATCTCAGTAAAATGTTAGCATAACTAACTCTTTATAGATTTATATATATTTTTCATTATATGTCTATCAAATTATATGTCTATCAAAAGAGAGTTAGTTAAAAGTGTTGAAAACGTGGTTAATGAATTTGTTACAAAGAAGAGAAGAAATGTTATGTTTTAAATTTTGTTATCTTATTTTTTTTTGGATTATGTTTTAAATTTTGATTTTATATGAATTTAATATGATGAGTGTCATTTTTTAAAGTTCGAGACTTCGTATCTCTAGAAACGGTTATGGATATGGCCTCATGCTACGTGAGTCTTGAGCCTGAAATTGTAAGGGGATGCGATATAGATAAGATTTCTCTTTACAGATTACATTACTTTTGAATAATATATTATTAAAAAAATATTATATTAGTGAAAGAAAAACGAGTACTATATTATATTGGCAGTATAAATAAGACCAGTGGAGAGCGTGAAAGTTCACCACCCGTCCATTAATCCTCTCCTCTCCTCTCTCTCTCTCGCATAATACCTTTGAGAAATGGCAGGCAAGTGTAATTTAGTGAGTGTTTTGGGAGCATTATTGGTATTGACCATCTTCCATGATCCGATCATTGTCTACGCCGGCGAAGGTGTTCCGAATGTAGCGTTGTTCGCTTTTGGTGACTCCTACTACGACGCCGGAAACAAAGTGTTTCTACTTAAAAAAAATAGAAATCTTCCACAAAACTTGTGGCCTTACGGCAAATCCATCGACTACCCGGACGGCAAATTTTCCGATGGCCGGATCGTCCCCGATTTTATTGGTGCGCTCTTTATTAATAATCTAATTAACGATATATAGTGTAGCTTATTAAGACACAAGATAATAACTAATCGATCTCATGGTTATTGTATAGGTGACTTCATGTCCATTCCGAACGGAATCCCACCGGCTCTTAAACCGGACGTTGATCTTTCACGTGGAGCTAGTTTTGCCGTCGCCGATGCTTCTATTCTTGGGGCTCCGGTGGAATCTGTAAGTCTGCTTTCGCTAAAAAAAAAAAGAAAACATTGGATTTTCTACAAAAGAGAGACTTTTTAGGTATAATAATACCTGAAGTACATATACAGCTTAAACGATGTCCCTTTTGGGGAAAGAATAAGAAAGAATCATTCAGAAATATACAGCTTTAAAAAAAATCGAAAATAAATGTTTTCTTTTAATAATAGTTATTAATAAGAAAAGTTTAATTGATTTATTTTTTAAATTACTTGTCTATGTAATCTTAACATGTTTACCAATTTTTTTTTTTTGATGTATATACAGATGACACTGAATCAACAAGTGAACAAATTTAAAAGTATGATATCAAAATGGACAGACGACTACATCGAGAAATCAGTGTTTATGATATATATTGGTACTGAAGATTATTTAAACTTCACCAAGACCAATCCAAAAGCAGACACTTCTGCTCAGCAAGCTTTTGTCACTTCTGTCACTAACCGATTGAAGAACGACATTGGCGTAAGTTGTCAACAAACAGTATATTATGCGTATTTGTACATTAACTAATATGTTCATTTGACTTACTATTTATGTATGTTTTGGCTTACATATATATATAAAATATATTTATGTTTATTTTTACAGTTGTTATACTCCCTGGGAGCGAGTAAATTCGTGGTTCCATTACTAGCACCATTGGGTTGTCTACCGATCTCCAGACAAGAATACAAAACCGGCAACGAATGTTACGAGCCACTCAACGATTTGGCTAAACTACACAACGAGAAGATCGGTCCGATGTTGAACGAGTTTGCTAAAAAACCCAACAGTGGTTTTCAGTTCACCGTCTTCGATTTCTACAACGCCGTTTTGCGTAGGATTGCGTCTGGCAGGAGTATTCACTACCGTAAGTCATCGTCATCACCATAATATTCACTATTTAGCAAAAAAAAATATTCACTAACTAATTAATTGTTGCATGTTGTTTAGTACATTGAGAATTTTTCAGCGATCTTATCATATTATTAAACGTTTATTAAGTACAATGCAAACAAAAAAACAGATTAAAGATACCAAAGATCTGATAAAAGCCACAAGGATAATCGAACGCGCGTGAAGATATAATATAATCTAAATGATTCATGTTGATCTATAGGGTTTTATGTGGCGAACACATCGTGTTGCGGGGTAGGGACGCATAATGCTTACGGTTGCGGGATGGGAAACGTGCACTCGAAGCTATGTGAGTACCAAAGATCTTACTTCTTCTTCGATGGACGTCACAACACAGAGAAGGCGCAAGAGGAAATTGCTCATCTTCTCTATGGAGCCGATCCTAACGTCATCCAGCCGATGACCGTACGTGAGCTAATCGTGTATCCGGTTAAGGAGAATATGCGTGAGTATTGGGAGGCCAACAAGAAGTCTATTCGTCGTCGTCGTCGTCCATTTCGTGCATCTTACCTCGATGGCCTCGATTTATCAGCTTACTACTAGTTGGATGACTTTGAGCTGATGAATCTTTGGTTATATGTATGATGAGCCTACTACTATCGTATTTTGTATCGATGTCGATCGTTACGTGGTAATTCGGTTTATGCCGTCGAATAAATTGATGTTAAATGTCTTCGTGTAATATGTTTCGTAATCTACGAAAAAATATAATAAAAGATAATGCAACTGTTTTTCTATAGAATGTACTTAAAACGAAATTATAATATTTAAAATTTAGCTAATAATTGATTGCAGAAGATTAGTTGTTAACTTAATTAGAAATAAAAAAATATGCAATAACGACATATATGATAAACAAAACCATAATGATATAACCAATTATAAAATTAAAATAAATAAATACCAAAATAAAAGAAAACAGAAACATAAAATAAATTTAGCACAAGAGGGGAATATCAAGTACTGTATTAATATAAAAATTTGTTGTCCTCTTTACTTTGGTTGAGAGCATAATTCTTATTTTAAATCTGCACTGTGTTGTATTTGCGTGATTATATTCTTTAGTTGCTTTTAAATTGTCAATTTCCAGTATGTTGCTTTTAAATTATATAATTGCTTTTAATTATATAATTAATATTTAATTCGTAGGGACCGACGTTGAATAATTGGGTGACGATTGAATGGTTATTCAAGAGACATATGCATATGTAACAATCAAATGTGTGTCTCCTTTTGACTTCAAATCTGTCATATATGGGAAATTGAGCTACAAGATAAACGACTAAATGACTAAATGCACCAACAGTGTTAAAAAAATTTCTTGTGCCGATCAAAGGGAAAAATTTAGCTACATATAAACGACTAATTAAATGACTAAATGCACCACCAATAAATGTCTTGTGTAAATGTTAGTATATATAAAAAAAAGTCTTGTGCCAATCAAAGGGAGTAAACTGAAAGGGACCTTTTTCGACACTATGGGACCTTCAATAATTACTGAGTCCGTGAATAATGCAATATGTGAATATTGCATTAAAAAGTTGAATTATTTCGCAAATTTAATGAGTCAATCAACAATTAATGTGCATGTGATGTAATATATTTTTATATATAACTCTTTTTTTTTTGGTTAAAAAAATTTATATAAACTTTTTCGCATGCAGCCACACCGTTGGGTATAGGCCACTCGAGCTGTAATTGTGAAGTATATAGTGCAAAACATATACATCTCATCATTGTTATTTAATTCACGTTTGTACCATTGGCTTAACTTTTTTTGTTCTCTTTCTAATTTTGGCTTACAGTGTAATGATGAAGTTAGTTAATATTCCCGTGATTGACAAAATTCAAGAAAACTAAACTTTCAATCATTTATGCGAATACGATTATACACATCTCATCATCATTGTCATTTTTTTTTTCACGATTAATGTAATATTAGCTGATCGTTACAAAATCATGATTAAAATAACTTATACTTCATATAAAATGTAAACAAAGAGTTAACTGTAGAGCACTAGAGCTCATTGGAATATTGGCCGTTTCAAGAACGCCCGTTTGAATCAACCGTTTCAAAGCGTTCATTTACATTCCCGGATTGATGAGGACACGTAACACGTTTTAAACGTTTACTTGGTTGGTATGTCACAACCAATAATAATACATTTGATATGATGGCTGAACTTTAATCATCGACTCCATTAATTATTGTTGGGTAACAGTAAAAATAATGATTGTACTACCACAATTATTAGATGCTATAGATGGTGGCCCCTTTGAACGTTTAGAGGTGCGGTACTACAAGCCTACCAGTGTCAATCGAGAACACGCATTGGTCTTAGAAAATAGACGAGCTGAGATATGAACGTCACAAAACTTGTTATACATTGATTGATGAACTATAACAAAATATTAATCTCCTTTAATTTATAAATAGAAGACTTTTTCAAACAAAATTGTCACTAAAAGGTTTGTTAACGACGTTATAAAAAACATCTGTCAACGATTGTGAATATATAAACAAGAAAACCAAAAAAATGGCAGTTAAATAGATTCATCAACCCCCGTTAGAGCCAAAGTCAAATACATAGTGATAACAAAGACCTCTATATTCCTAAGAAAAAGAGGTATAATGCTGATGACGGGAGATTCTAATCTAAAGAAAACAGAAGCATAGAATATCGCGTTGACCGAAAATTGTAATCCTAACATTATATGAAATTATAGGGATGGTAGGTGTGTAATGTTGTCGGGGAAGGTCTAATTCCGAAAGAAAGGAAGTAAATGTTGATATAAAATCTTATCTTAAAGAAAAAAGGGTTTGATGATTGATAGTGATCTACATATATACTTGCACAAAAAAACGTAGAACTTTCCAAAAGGGTAAAAAGGTGATCTACATTAAGTGGGTGTTATAGAAAGAATACGGAAAGAATACAGAGCTCTTACTCGGTTTTTTTTTTTTGTAGTAACCACTAACGAGGATATAAGTTTTAGAGCTTGTGAGGAAAAACTACCAAAAAAGAAACCGAGTAAGAGCTCTGTGCCAAGTAGGCAAGTACTTTCATAACCAACTACTGTTAAGAATTTCAATTGTTTTTAGTTCAGATTGTTTGATCAATGTTGTAATTTGTCCAAAAAAAAAAGTTTATGAACTCAAACGTATTTATGATAATAATAATAATCTAAGAGACGCGTTAAGATTGTTATTATTATTTTTTATCTTATAGCAAATAAGTTAAATAATTTTAAGGATTATATACATATTATTTTTTGCAATATTAATAAGGTGTTAAACACATCTCAACAACAGAACAAATTTGGAAACCAAAGGAAATATAAGAGAGAAATAGAAAATAGGCCTCGTCAAGGAAGAAAAGCCCATAGACTTGAAAGAGAAGAAAGAAGTGGGCTCACAAAATGAAGAGCAGCCCAGCAAAGAGATAAAGTCTGCAACAGTCACTTTGTTTCTGCAAAACAGAGCTTCACTTGCAGACAAAACTCAGGTTCCTCCGTACAAGCCAGCTCACCAGGTCACGCTCCACAACCATTTTGCTCTCTTTGGATCGTGTGATCAATGATTGATATGTGAAGGACAGCTGTCTGCTGCTTTAGGCTTTTCCCATTTTATGTTCGTTGTCTCTAAATATACTCTTGATGGTGTAATCGCTCAATTAAAGTAATGAAATCATGAAAATATTCAGTCGTTATTATCTTCATTTCCTCAAGGCTTTAGCTCTTTTTTTTCTTTCATATATGACAAGTGGAGAGTGTGAAGCTCACCACCCTATACTATATATCAGTCTTCCACTTCTCATGCTCGCGTTATTTATAATTAAGAGATGGCAGGAAAATGTAATATAGTGAATGTTCTGGGGGTACTATTGGTGTTAACCATCTTCCCCTAATCCGATCATTGTCTACGGCGGCGAAGGTGTTCCGAATGTAACACTGTTCACTTTCGGGGACTCATTAGGCAGTTCAGATGGTTAAATCCCTCTGTCCATATATACTATATTTTGTTATTTAATTTATTATATCTCATATAATATATTATTTTATAGATTTGACCAAGTGTAGATACATACTTAGCACAATATGGATATTAATTAGCCAAATTTTACCTACTGAATTTTGCTATCAACCATTTGTTTTATTTTCATTTTAAATAAGTATTTGGTATCCCGATTTTGTAAATGGGACCGTATACTGAAGTGAATATCATGTGCATATGTCGTCAGTGATGCTCTGGCCAATCCGAAAATAGTTTCTGTTTGTCAGAACTTTCTTACTAAAAACAAAACACATTTCACATTTGGTAAATGCATGCAAGCTGTATTTTATGTTATTTGTTTTTGGCTTTGTTTTTGCATGCATGCTGTATTTATGTTATTTGTTTTTGGCTTTGTTTTTGCATGCATGCTGATGTCTAATTATTTTCATGTTTTGTCATATTGATCCATGCCACGTACTCCCTGGGAAACACGTAATTCACATAGGAATCTATGTTTGTTTTGTTTTTTTTTTAAAAATGGGAATCTCTGTTATTACACAAAAAAAGGATAAATAAAAGAGGGAGAACGATTCCCTCAATTAACATATAGATCATCACGGTTGGTTAAAAAGAATTATCCTGCAATTGTTTTCCTGGTCATGAGTACTAGTAATTTCAGCCACGTTTTGATTTCTTTTCTATAATTTCTGGTTATTTTAGTAATTTTAATTAATTAGACTTTTACATCAACGTGTGCTTTAAAATGATACGGAATGAACAAAGCCCATTACAAGAACCAATGCTAATTGAACTTATTGTAGGCTAAAGCATCAAAAGAAATTGAGTTCAGTAAGAAACATTTGATTTATAAACAAATCACTAAAACTGTTTTAATCAAACTCAAACTACAGAATTTTTAGTAAAGCAAAAGTACTCAACCAATATTTATTTTTTCAAACATGATGTCTTTCAATATTTGATAAATATTTGGTATCTAAAACGTTATTAATTTTATTGGTTTCAGTCCGCGACCGACTTTGACATATATTATGAATAACTAAGTAACTAACGGAACAAAGAATCTCGAAATCACAATGCTAGATAAATCCTTAAACCATATAATATGGTTTCTTGCAGAGAAATTACTGCGAATTTGTCAATCAATCATTTGAACAAAAATTTTAATTTCCGTTATAATATGAACAATAGTTAAAATCTGGCCGTTTTTTTTCACGCTATATGCTGTATATCACAGTATGAGTGGGTTGGAGGGCAATGAACTATCCCTCTTGTATTTAGACCTCCGTGATTGTTGCTCTGGTTGGGGGTATTTGTTCTTCTTATTTGTTGTATGGGTTGTCGAATAAGTTACTTGCAACATTGTATTAGGAAAATTGAAAATGGTATAAATCTTCACATTTACATCCCAAAAAAAGTGTGATTATATATGTGACAAGTGTCAAAAGTTAAAACCCATGAAAGGACAAAGGGGTTTGAAGTATACCACCTCCACAGATATCGAAATTGAATAAACATCGGAAGGATAAATGTCCTACAATATATCTTATGCTAAAAGCACCTTTAATTGGGGTCTCTCACATCATAAGTATCTATAATTGAGAAAAAAAAATACTAATATTGGTTATGTGGATTTCTAAATAGTGGAAAAAAATCCATACAATTAAATATTATTAAAATTTAGATAACATATGAGACGAGACCTCATCCGTTAAAATTTGTTTTTATTTAATAAAGTTAAATCATTTAAGCTTATTATAATTATATGTTTTGCTATATAAATATGACAAGTGGAGAGTGTTGAAGTTCACCACTACCCGACCAAAATATTTCCACTCATGCTAGCATAAACCAATAATTGAGAGATGGTAGGCAAGTGCGATTTGGTGAGTGTTCTGGGGGCAATATTGGTATTGACTATCTTCCATAATCCGATCATCGTCGTCTACGCCGGCGAGGGTGTTCCGGAGGTAGCGTTGTTCACTTTCGGAGACTCTTATTACGACGCCGGAAACAAAGTGTTTCTAAGCACAAACAAAAACCCTCCACAGACCAAATGGCCTTTTGGCAAATCCCGCGACGACCCCAACGGCAAGTTTTCCGACGGCCACATCGTCCCTGACTTTATCGGTACGCTCTTTTTCCTATATATACATATATATTGGTTAGTAAATAAGATAAATTAATAATATGACAATATATGATGATGATTGTATAGGTGACTTCATGTCTATTCCGAACGGAATCCCGCCGGCGCTGAAACCGGGCGTTGATCTTTCACGTGGAGCTAGTTTTGCCGTCGCCGATGCTTCTATTCTTGGTGCTCCGGCGGAATCTGTAAGTACCAAAAAAATATCATATTAACAATTTTGGATATATAAGTAAATAGTTAATAGATGTTATTAGCTTTCATTTATTTCTATTTTTTCCTTCTTTTTAAACATGTGAATTACAGCTGTACTTGTTTTATTTATTTAGAAACTTAAAAGAGATAAGATCCATTAGGGTTATTTTTAGGGTGATTTGCTAAACTGAGGAAGAAGTTATAAAAGCTAGGAGAAAATAAATTGGAAATATGTGCTAAAATGATAAGACATGGACGATCTTCGGTTGTCCATGTGGAAATTACACACAAAACAAACAGAGCTAAATATGATGTTGAATGTGACTAGCTGACAACTTAAGACCCACCAAAAAGAAAAGAAAAAGAAATCACACACGCATGCATAATAAACACAAATTTTAAATTAATTGTAAATTCCTTGTGTCTATCCAGATGACACTGAACCAACAAGTGAACAGATTCAGAAGTATGAAATCAACTTGGACCGACGACTACATAGAGAAATCACTGTTTATGATATACATCGGTACTGAAGATTATTTGAACTTCACCAAGAACAATCCCACTGCAGACGCTTCTGCTCAGCAAGCTTTTGTCGTTTCCGTCACTAACCGATTAAAGAACGACATAGGCGTAAGTTAATTGTCATCAATCAACAAACAAATGTATATATGCGTTTTTGTACTTCTATATATATATGCTCAAATGTTGCTTACTATAGTCACGTTTATGTTACAGCTGTTATACTCATTGGGAGCGAGTAAATTCATGGTTCAAATGCTAGCACCGTTGGGTTGCTTACCGATCTCTAGACAAGAATACAAAACAGGCAACGAGTGTTACGAGCCACTCAACAATTTGGCAAAACAACACAACGAGAAGATCGGTCCGATATTGAACGAGTTTGCTAAAAAACCGAACAGCGGTTTTCAGTTCACCGTCTTCGATTTCTACAACGCCATCATCCGTAGGACACAGAGACATCTTAACTACCGTAAAAATCATCAATCCATTAACCAATAATACACATATATCTATTTTAATCAAAATCATTTGCTTAATTAATATCTGAATATATATATTGTATAGGATTCTACGTGGCGAACTCATCATGTTGCGGTGTTGGGACGCACAATGCGTACGGTTGCGGGATGGGAAACGTGCACTCGAAGCTATGTGAGTACCAAAGAGCTTACCTCTTCTTCGATGGACGTCACAACACAGAGAAGGCTCAAGAGGAAATTGCTCATCTGATCTATGGAGCAGACCCTAACGTGATCCAGCCGATGACCGTACGTGAGCTAATCGTGTACCCAGCTGGAGTGAATATGCTTGAGTTTTGGGAGCCTAATAAGAAGAACTCGATCCGTCGTCGTCGTCCAGCTAGCGTTTTCAACTTCGGTTTATCCGCTTATTAACTCTTAGTTGGATGACTTTTGTGCTCAATCAAATTCGATATGATACTATCGTTTATTATATATTGTATCGATATCTGCTTTCTGTCGAATAAAATGGTTTTTGAATATCTTAATGTAACCTGCTTCGTAAACTATGAAAAAATAGAATAAGAGATTTTGCAATTGTTTCTACAGCTTCATCACTAGCTATGATAATTTGGTATGCATAGACATCGTTAATTACGCTTGTGTAGATAGCTCTTAGCCTTAGCTGAAAGCCTAAAACTATTGAGATTGTTACAGTAAAGAAGTTCAACTTTGAAGTTATGTTAACACGTATATGTTAAATTTAATATTTTTACAAAAAAGTTCTCTTTTTTTTTTGTAACGTCACAAAGAAGTTCTCATATTAATATATAATACAGGATAATACACACGAGTTTTTTTTTTTTGTCGTAATATAGTTAATACTAGCTACCTCGAGGGAGAAAAATATTATTAGCTGTGGTTCCCGAGGTTGGCAATAATAATTAAATAAAAAACAAAGGAACCACCTCACCTCCTGGCCACTCTCTCTTAATACTATAAAGATTGGATCTCATCACATGTATTAATGACAGACGTATTTTGAACCATTCGCCCTTCGGTTTAATTTTGTTTTAATTTCGGTTTTATTTATAAATATTTTGTTAATCAGTGGAGTTAGCGTCGGTTTGGTTTGGTCCAAGTAAAGCACATAAGCCTGGACATTCGGATATTCGGTTCGGTTTTGGTTCGGAACCAATCGGTTCCGGATATTTCGGGTAGAGGAAGTTGGGATCTATCGGGTATTTTTATAAATTTTGGTTCGAGTTTGATACCTTTATTTCGGTTCGATTCTGGTTCGGATAATCGGATCCGGATCTTTTGCCTCAAATTTTTAATTCGACTCACACTTTTTTAATAACAAAAATTCAAAAATATATATATCAAAACTTAAAAATATATCCAAAAATCCCAAAAATAAAGAAAATATATCTGTAAAACCAGAAATATATACCAAATATCAAAAATATCAAAAAAAATCTAATATTTAAAAGGATATATAATTATATTTTGGATAATTCGGGTACCCAATCGGTTCTCGGTTCGGTACTAGTTCGGTTCCGGTTCTTTGGGTATAAGAGTTTAAGATCCATCGGATATTTTTAAAAATTTCGGTTCGGATTCGATACCTCTATTTCGGTTCGGTTTCGGTTCGGATATTCGGATCCGGGTTTTTTGTGCAAAAGCACATATACCAACAACATGACAAGCATAAAAGTCCAAACACAGACTAGTCGACACACAACTCCACGGTCAAAGAGCTAACAAAAAAAGCCTTTGTTTCAAAATGGCAATCAACCGTAATTCAATCTTCTTCATAGGGTTACTAGCGTCTTTTACGCTCTCCAGTCTCCCGGCAAACGTTTCCGCCGGCGAGCCTCCTCTCTTATTCACTTTCGGCGACTCTTCTTACGATGTGGGCAACACGAAGCTCTTCTCGTCGGCGTTCGATCCGGCCACTATGTGGCCTTACGGCGACTCCGTCGACGATCCAACCGGTCGTTGGTCTGACGGCCACATTGTCCCTGATTTCGTCGGTATATATTTATACATGGACACACTTTTACAGAAAAAAAGTCTTGTAATTGTAATTAAACTTTTACAGAAATTAAACTTTTTTTCTCTCTGAGGTTCTTGTAATTGATTCCGATCTAATTGCAATCAGGTCGATTGATTGGTCATCGCGAACCGATTCCTCCGGTTCTTGACCCAACAGCCGATCTTTCTCATGGAGCAAGCTTCGCCATTGCTGGAGCAGTTGTTCTTGGATCCCAATCTGACACTGTAAGCTTCTTCTCTTCTTATTTTTTCCGCCTTTGATAAAGAGGATTAAGACTAAGATGGATTTGTAATTATTACTATTATTATGTTTGTTGTTTGGGCAGATGAGTTTAGGACAACAGATATCGAAATTTATAGAGTTACGCAAGAAATGGACCGATAAAGAACGAGCAGAAGCTATATACCTGATCTACATCGGAGCTGATGATTACTTGAATTTCGCAAAGGCTCACCCAAATGCCAATCTTGTGGAGCAGATTGCTCATGTTGCCAATGTTCTTCAAAGGCTATCCAGAGATCTAATGGTATGTACAGTTGCTTAACAACTCTATTAATTTGATTGATTTGATTCAACTAGGAAATATTGCAATGGACTATAATCCGGCTATCTGGACCGGTTTAGATTTAGTCCGGTCTGTGGTTCTGAATGCCATCCCTGCCGGTTTACGGGTTTGACCAAGCTTTTACGAGATTTTGATCGTTTGTGGTATTTACATTATTGGGCGATCAATCAAACAATTGAACCGGGAAAATGTATTTGATGACATGCAGAGTTTGTACCGGTCAGGTGGAGCGAGGAAGTTTGCGGTACAGAACTTGGCACCGCTTGGTTGCTTACCAATAGTGAGACAAGAGTTCAAGACAGGTGAAAGTTGTATGGAGATGGTTAACTTCATGGTGACAACACACAATGAACGGCTTAGACGTGTGCTCGTTGCGTTGACCGTGCCATACCGTGGCTTTCGTTACAGCCTCTTTGATTTCAACCGTGAAATCCTCCAAAGGATCAATGAACCATCACGCCATGGTAACCAATTATATAAAAAAACAAACTCTCTTTTTTTTTTTAACATTCTGATTCGGCTTTTCTAATATGAAATGAAATCGTGAATTTGATGCTTAGGATATACTGATACGACGACCTCATGTTGCGGTACTGGATCGAGAAATGCGTTCGGGTGCGGTTATAGCAACGTGCATTCGAAACTCTGCAGTTACCAGAAATCATTTCTGTTTTTCGACGGTCGTCACAACACTGAGAAAACGGATGAAGACATCGCTAATCTCTTCTATTCCGGTGACAAACATGTCGTCTCTCCGGTTAACATAAGGGATCTCGTAGGCAAATCGGTGACTAATCTTGCGGCGCAAGAAATCTAAAAGCCCTAGTTTTTGTTCTGTTTGTTTGTAAAATAAGTAAATGGTTGTAGTAATCCGTTTCATAAAGAAATGGAGGAAACAAACAAAAGCAAACCGTTTACAATGAAAAAAAGACTTAGATTCGAAATAATGTTTTGAGATTGTAAGGAGCAGTGATATTAGACGGTCCGCTCCAAATCAGCTCAGAGATCTGTCGATGAGCTTCTTCCGTCAAGTGAGAAGGATCAAAGAAGATGTAATCTTCAGCGTTTTCGCATAGCTCGTAATCTTGCGAAGGTCCGTTTCGGAATCCACATGTATTGATTCCTCTCAAAGGTCCGCTCCCGCAACATGCCATCTTCCCTTGCTTGAAACCGTATCGAGAAGGATTGTTGATTCTTTGGAGTAGAGAAGTGTGAAAGTCGTGAAGAGAGTATTTGAATCCTGATAGTTCCCGCTCCAGACGCCTCAAGACTTTAGGGAACTCTTGGTTATGGAGGTTGATCAGCTCCGAGACCGGCTCGAAACATGATCCGATCTTTGTCCGGTCTATTATCGACGCACTCGGTGTACAACCGTACGGTCCCAAGCTCAAGAATCCGAATTTCCTTGCTCCCATTTTATACAATTCCTGAAAAAATGGATTTCACATTTTTTTTTAAGAATCAAATATTCTTATATTCCTCTCTGCTTTTGTTAAAAGTTAACAAAACTGTTATATAACCTCGATGACGTTCGTTGTGTTACCGATGACGAATTTGACGAAACTCTCTTTGGTGGTGGTACTAAAAGTTGAGGTATTTGCGAAAAATGGGTATTGATAGTCATTTGCTCCGATGTGAAAAAGATAAACAGCTTTTGAGATGATCCTTCTCGCCTCTGCATCTCCTAACTCTGATCTCAACACTTGCGATGCGTTCTTGAAGCTCTTTAATTGTGTTCCTAAATCTTTCGACTTTGATGAAACCCAAAAAAAAAAGTCAACGATTTTAGTCAAAAATATAATTTTTTATGTTTCTTTTGAAGAGTAATAATTACCACTCCGGGAAAAGTTGCGGCGAAAACTCCGGCGGCTGTGGTAGCGAAATTAATTCCGTAGGTTAATTGACTGTTACTGTAACCAGGCTGTAGATTTGGCGGGAGCAACGGTAACCAAGCGTATTCAGCTGCCACGTCAGAAAATTATACGTTATTTTCAGCAACATGCAATTATATGATAGTTTCGATATAAAAATTAACGTAAATCAGAATACTAAGTAGGCTAAATTTCTCTATCAAAAGAATAAATTAGTGAAATAAAATAAGAAAGTATTGTTAATTTGATGATGTACCGATAAAATCTGTGATTATACGTCCATCGGAAACCCGTCCCGTGGGAAACTTGAACGTTGTTTTACCGTACGGCCAGTAATTTGACCGGAAACCTGGGAGAGAATCGAAGTAATTGTTGTTTCCGGCTTCGAACAGAGAATCTCCGAACACGAACAAAGCGGCTTTGTTCGTTACGAAATCGTTTTTGCAAGAAGCTGAGCCTAGCGATAAGCTTATTGTGCAGATGAATAAGATGATGATCATCGAACTAAATACAGAACTTGCCATGTTTAGTTGCACTCTCTTCTTCTTCCTTTACAAAATCATCTCTTGTCCGTTATATCTATATATAGAGGTGCTCTGGTGCTTAGTTTGTTTAATTAATGTTACTGTTTTATAACTTGCAATGTGGTCAAGTTGCTTTTTCTTTTGCAATAGTAATAAATTACGGTTGTACGACTTTGAATATAAATTCTAATTAACGTACGACCCGATTATTTTGTATACGGCGGCTGAGTTTTGACGAAGACATCCTCAAATGATTGGTAATAGTATAGGTACCTTCTAACGGCCCATATATTTCAATAGACATTTTTTTTGGACTGCAATAGACATTTATGTTATTTTATCATAGTTGGTTGAATTTTTATGTTTCTTTTTTTCGGTGCAAATGGTTGAATTCTTATGTTATCTTGATTTTATCTGGTCTTGAATTTTGACCGAGAACCAGAAAAAGAACATCTGATTTTGAAAGAAAAACCAAAAGTAAATTCTAGTTGTTGAAGAAAGTTTACATTCAAAAAAGTATCGGTAATGTTAGATTTGTCAAGTAAAATTAGAAAAAACAACGCTGATTATACTGAAGAAAACAAAACCAAAAACATTTGATGTGATCGTATATGTGGACTTCCCTTGGCCACGACACTGTAAACGCAAGAATTTTTTGAAAAGCTTTTGACGATGTAGTGCGAAAACTTAAAAGTAAGATGTGATAATTGTTAGAAATATTTGACCGGTATTATTGATGTGTATTCACTCAAATCTATTGATTAGTAAAAAGCGGTGGTCTAGCTTTCTAGAATGAGTTGACCAAAATGAAAATTATCCAAATGTTAATCTCAATCGGCTTGTATCATCCTCCAGTGCCTTGACTTTGATCTAGAAATAACGAAGCCTGAGTGGCTGAGTCTTTGTGTGTCGTAGTATTTGATTCGATTATCTCAATCTTCCAATCTATAATTTTCAAATAATTATCAATACAACCATCAAAGGTATTATATCGTTCGTTACACAAACGTGACCATACATTCTGGATACTTCAGTTCATTAAATGTTTTGAAACAAGGTCTTGAGATTGTAGGGTCCGACAAGATCGGACGGACCGTCCCACATCAACTCCGCGGTCTGTTGGTTAGCCTTCTCAGACGTGTGTGAGCCATCAAAGAACATATAGTCATTAACGTTTTCACATAACTCGAAATCACGTGACGTTCCTGATCGGTACCCACACGTACTGCTTCCCCTGAACGGTCCACTTCCACAACAAGCCTTCTTCACTTCCTTAAACCCTAATTACCAAAACACATTTGAAACATGCATTATACTTGAGCCTCACATATATGAGATATTACTGTAAACAAGAATAATAAATAACACAAAAGGCTTAATACCGTATTTTGTGGGATTTTCCATAGCTTCGGTTCCAGCAGTGTAGGAGTCGAAAAGAGAGTATTTGAATCCGGGTAATCGACGTTGTAGATCTCTCAAAACGTTCGGAATTCTGACGTTGTGAAGTTTTATCAACTAAGTGATGGGTTCGAAACATGATCCTATTCTCGTTGGATCCATTGTTAGCATTCCCGGAACACAGTCGAGTCGACCCATGTTCATGATACCAAACTTCCTTCCTCCAATTTTATAAATTCCCTGCATGCAAAGAATACAAAAAATCTTATGAATTATGATTAATTAGTAGCTTAGGATAGAGATCTTGACACATTGCATGTGTGTAATCAACTCTTGTGGTAACATTATGATATCCATTAACCTATCAAATATTCAAAAATAAGAGTTTTGTATGGAATTAGTTAGCCCATATATATAAATACCTCGATCACAGTCGTGGTGTTACCGATAACATAATCGACGAATTTGTCTTTACTGTTGGATTGAAAATGGGAGGCGTTAACAGAGAAGGGATAAAAATAGTCGTTAGGACCAATCTGAATGAGATAAACAGCTCTCGAGATTATTCTTTTGGTCTCTGCGTCTCCTAATTTCTCTTTAAACATCTTCTCCACATTCTTGAAGTTGTTTAATTGGCTTCCCAACGGTATCACGTTCTAATTAAAGATACAAATAAAAGAAAAAATGTTTAAAACGACTTAAATAGAACAGAGATGTAAGTAACCTTAAAAAATATATATCAAATTGTTTTTGTCAATAAATTAGAATTTTTTTTTTTTAAAGCACCGTCAAAGCCGTATATATGATTCAAGTAGGAATCAAAGACTCAACATATCTTCAAGTACTAACTTATATTTTTTCTAGTTTATATGCAAATATTATTGAACATATATGATAATTAAATACCTGTGGCTGATAAGTTTCAATCAAAGCTCCGGCACCGGCGGAAGCGAAATTAACGCCGTAAGTAAACTGATTGACGCTATTTCCGGGCTGTAGATAAGGTGGTATCAACGGTAACCAAGCGTATTCCGCTGCGTTTGCCACAAAGTTATCCCACGATAATTTTATATATATCAATATATTCGAATGATGAACTATGCAAAGATATATAGATGGATATGTGCTTAATTTTGTTTATACCGATAAAATCAGGAATTAAACGGCCGTCAGAATTTCTCCCGGTCGGGAACTTGAACGTGGTTTGACCATACGGCCAAACATTGGCCTGAGCAGCTCGGAATGTGTTGATGTAATTGTTGTTACCAACGTCGAACACTGAGTCTCCGAACACAAACAAAGCTGCTTGCTTCGTTAACAGACTTCTTTCACAATTTATTGAATTGATTGATAAAATTATAGTCGAAAAGAGTAAGATTATCGAACGGAATCCGTCAATGTTTGCCATATGAATCGTATTTATCTTTTTTATATAGGAATTGTGTGTGTGCTAATTAAGTAGAACAACGCGTGCGTTTATATAGCTGATAGTGAGTCAAAGCTAGCTATAGAAAAAAAATGAAGAGAAATGCTCGCAAACGTTTCTGGACAAAGAAGCTTTTGATTTTCCAGAATTAATTTAAAAGATTTCCTCTTTGAAAAGTCTTAATTTGATTATACTATCGGAGGGAACTATATAAAATAAATATAACTTAATTGAGTTAGTCAGTCGAGCTTCGTATAAGAAATATGCTTAAAAATATCAGTTTCTTGTCTTTCACGGGACGGCTGGTCAATGGGAAAGTTTAATTATCATCATCATGATTCATGTGAACTGATTAGTTAAATAAAGGACTTCTTCAATAAATCAAACGTAATCTTTTTACTCTAGGTTTTAATAAAAATATAAATAATCAAGGTTCTTAAAATAAAACAAAAAGAAACTGATAAGGAAATTTCCAATCTCTTTCTTAGAATGATTTAAAACAAAAAAATTGGCGAATTCAAAATTGACTTTTATGCTTTGGCCAAAAGGAGAAAGGAAAATCGAAAATACTCTTAAATGGAATTCACGATACGAACACAAAATAATGTTTAAACGTATACAATCTAATTATAATCCATGTGGTGAATGTACAATGACATATATTCCAAACTAAAACCCCAAAATAACAAACCTAACTTATAATTCATGTAATGTAGTATACGTACTTTGACGTTTGATGCATATTAAACTGAAAACTAACTATGAAGACCTTCTATTGTGCAAATTACCCAACCCATCGCATAAGAGATTAATGGGCAGTAGTCACTAGAGTAGGTTCATTAAATTGATCTTCTTTATTTATTTTTGTCATTGACATTGAGTGATAAACTTTAGATGAAATGAAAATGTTTAACAACAAACTAAAATGTTAAAGAATCAGTTGCTGTCTCGTTGATCGATCATACATTGAACCTGCTTCTACACAATGCCCCACAGAATAATTTGGATGTATTCTCTTGTCAAAAATATAGGTGTAATATAATATAGAGATCCCTATAATATAATTAGTCTATCCGTGGGTTCACGAGAAAGTTTACAAGAATAACTCAATTCTGTATAATATACTGTTAACATGAGCAAACCCCATTTCTACTGTCCTTTGTTCGATTATTATTTTTTTGTTTTTTGTTTTTGTTTTGCAAGTGACTCACTTTCTCTCCTTATTATACAAGACGCGTTCTTTGTCCGGTTCGGTTCTGTTTCCTGATTTTTAGTATCGTTGTTGTTTTCGAGGTCCACACCGAATCTTTTCGATCTCTTTGTTATTTACAATGGATGAGTAAAGAAATTTAGCATTTCTCAATATATCAACCAAGCATAAGTTTTGCTAGGCAGTAGAGATACAATAATAAAACAAACAGAGGTTCCAAATATTATATTAAAATGTTAAATAAGTTTTGGGGGTACAAAACAAAACACTTTCGAAGTTTCGAGGGGTGACAGATAAGCTATAAACGAAGATTAAAAAGAGTGCTCGAAGGATTAAAAGACTGTCTTAAGAAAAAAAAGATGGACAAAAATGAAGGAAGAAGACTCATTACATAGAAATTATACCCTCTATTTACTTCATCACTCCTTTTATTTCAGAAAATTTAAAGAGACTTCAATTCAACAAGCTCCAGGTGTGACTTGTACCATCTCCCCCCAACAGCAAAATCCTGTGAGACACAACAAAAACCAGACAGAAGATTAAGTAACCAAAGTTGATATTGTTTGACGACAAGATTGAATCCACAAGGGCTTGAAACTCACCAACACACAGCTTTTATATACAAACTAGACAACCCATCAAGCAATTCAGAAGACTCCTTCCAGCATGGAATTGATCTCATCTAAGCTCCATAGGTCCATTGGGTTTTCCTCTTCCTGAGTCACAGGGCCAGCATCTGCGCCGAGCATATCTTCCACTTCTAATGGAGACTCCCATAAGGCGTTGTCAAGGTATACCATCAGATCATCAGAGTTGGTTTTGAGCTTCTTGGCTGCATTGGTTTCATCAGTGAACGGAGCTTGGTTATTATTGACTAGCATTGAAGAGATCTCGGGTGTCTTGGGGCCATGATCGCTCCAGCCGAACTCAGAGCAGTCGAATGAGTTACTTCCCTGATCAGAACTGAAATACTGGTATCCATTGTTACCCCCAGCATCAAACGAGTTTGATAGCCCAAACTGATTGTTGTTGTACATCTGAGGCTTCTCTTCCATGAAACTCATATCACCAAAGGAGTTTTGTCCCATGTTGTCAAAGGAGCTGTTACAGTACTGACTCAGATGTGTTGGCGGCTGAACAAAAGCTGGACTTTGGGTTGGTTTGGCCACTGGCTTCTTAAGATTACTGGTCTTAGCAGCAGGGCGTTTCTGAGAGACGCTAGGGATCTTCTTCTCCTCTGGAAAATTCACCTTAGCTTTAGTGCCACGGATTCTGCGTGCAGCTGCGTCATAAGCTCTTGCTGCTTCCTCAGCTGTGTCGAATGTTCCAAGCCATTCCCGAGAGCCTTTTCTCGGATCACGGATCTCAGCAGCCCATTTTCCCCAAGGACGCTGCCTAATCCCCCTGTACTGATTCTTTCTCTTCCTCTTGGCAGATTTATCAGCTTGCACATCGCACTCTACAGTTTTCTTGCCAGAAACTGAACCTAATGAAGTCAAAACACACAATATCAATCAATCATATGATAACTCTACAAAATTACATAAACAAAACTGCATCTTCGGCTACGGGATCTGGACATCGACAACTCCAAAATCTCGGTAAACTAGTAAATAAATCAACAGATGATAACCAAACCAATGAGATCAACCATTTCCAAAGACATTAAATAATAACTGAAGCAATAAGGCAATAATTCTGTAAAGAACAAAGCGATAAAAAGTCTATATCTTCTTCCTTTGCCCAGAAACCTTTGAAAAAGTTATAAAGATCTTTACTTTTTTGGCTCGAATATCTTCTGCTGAGGAATAACCATCGAAAGAGAAACTAAAAGGAATATGAAGATAAACTTCATGATGATCCAGAAACCCATATCAAAGACCAACCAAATTTAAGGGAATCATAAAGAAAAACTCTCATTTTTTCCAATCGAAATGGAAAATAACGAAAATCAATGAAAACATGAATCGTAAAATGAGATCCGAATCAAAATTTAAATTAGGCTCTGATATTTACCAGCGGAGGCGAAGGCGGCAGCGGAAGCCACGGGTTTGGTAGCTGCGGTGAAGACAAAGGGCATCACATCATCATCGACATCGAAATCATCTTCGCAGTCAAAAGAAGAATCATCCTTAAACCCTTGGAAATCAGCCTCGAATTCATCGTCCAAATCGAAGAAATCGGACCGCTTCTTCGATCTCTTCTTCGAAGCTTTTCCCTTATTTTTCAGATCCGGCCAGAGAAATTCGCTGGTGACGCGGCGGGAACTCGGCGGCGGAATGAAATCGGAGATTATAGCTCCTCCACACATGGCGGCTTTCACAAAATCACTACTCTTTCAGGGTGTTAAATGTTAAGAAATTGAAACTTAGCGGCGAAACTATAAATATTTGGTTATTTTGGGGTGTTTTCTTTATTTTCCTATCTCGCTATGGTTTGTTGTTACTCTCCAGAAAGGTAGAGAAATGGTGCGTCGCATATTATATAGGCTAATTATTTATTATGATACCCTTACTTGTTAGACGTTCTACAATAATGCCATTGTGAGTAAAATACTGCTGTTCTTTAACTTATATAGAGATATATGATTATAATTAAATTCGTCATATTTGTTTCCGCAAAAAGAAAATGTTTTATTATTTTTAGTGGTAATGTTAGCTAAATAATAAGTGTTATTTCAAAACGTTAGTATATGGTAAGTTGAGATATAAGTTGCATCTCAATGAAATTTAAACTTTTCTTTTCTTTGAGGTCTAATTTTCACTTTGATGTGATAAGATGTGTGATAAACTCACGGAGAGTTAATGAAAAATACATATCACAAGAACTTAGACACAACTTTGTAATTAGAAGTAAGAAAATTTGTTGAGCTATAAATAGTCAGTTTTCGTTTAAAATAAAGTTTGAGTGTTCTTCATTATATTAGAACTACTAGTAGTGATTTATTTCTTTTCGATTGTCTCAGATAGTAAAACCATGCATGATGTCTTGCCTTATGTGGTCTATGTGATCAAGGGTAAAAAGTACTCTCATACGAGTTTAACACTAGAAAGTGACAAATTATACAAATTATTTAATCAAATAGATATATACTAATAAGCTGATTTTTTTTAACATTATGTCTTGTAACATCTATTTGGACAATGATGTTAAAAAAAAAAATTGTATGAAGGTAAGGGTAAAATGGAAAAACATTACTTCCTAGAATCTTGACGAACTGCTGAAGAGACGTCAAGGTGTAACATGCCACGGTAAATAAAGGAGGCCATAAAAATTGAAAAAGAAAGTGTTAGGTGCATGCAACATTCAATAAAAATTATAGTATTCTTTAAGAAAAAGAAAAATAGAACCCAGAGATCGAATTATATATATGTAGCCAATGACACAAAACAAAAAAAAACAACAACAATCATTTGACTGGCTGCTTTATTGAACAGAAAAACAATCTCTTTATTAGAAGTATAGAACATTTTCCCTTTCACTATATCTTTTATACCTTTCTCGGCCTTTTGGCTAAGATCAATTGTAATATACTAGTATCTGTTCTTATCAGTATAATATCAGAGGAAAAATATCTCTTACACAGTCCTACACAACATTTCAGAATAGAAAAAAAAAATAATACAAAATGCCATAACAAAACTACTTTAGTTTCTCAATCTAATATATAAATATATAATCGAATGATGGAAAAGATGTCTGTTTTATGCTTTATAGTGTGTAAATTATATTAATTTATTAAGTTTTTATATAGACTTTTTATGGATAGTACAAATATGAGAAAATAAAACTAATACGGCATTATAGGCTTAGCAACACGACATCATATAGCTCTTGCTGTTAAAACCTATTTCCTATTCTTGTTTGTAAGAGTGTTATCATCTTTACAAACTTTTGTTACTTCCTATTCTTGTGTGTATGTTAATAAATCATTTTTGTTTACTTTAGGGGATAACATGCAATAATATAATTTATATGGATAAATAACTAAAAATTACGATGAATAATAAATTTTAAGGAAGTTAAGAATTTGATATAGCTTTCGGCATGAACAACACGACATATCCACGTATGAGGGTATATCCGTATATGTTTATATATACATGTAATCGTATACATAGATGTATACTTCAAATTTTGCCGGGCTATAGTTGATATATTCCCACATAATTGCCAATTTTCGAGGAAGTAATCAATTAATCACATATGTGTACATTAGTATCTTGACGAATCAAAATAAATGAACCCCATCGGCCCATCCCTAGATATTATTTTTTATGGAGTGAAAAAATTTGGAAATGCAAAAATTGAGATCATCTATGTGCGCTTGTGTGACACGAAGTTTCTTGAGGCTTGAAAAGAGATCAAAGAAAGACAAGTTGGGCAAGTGGATGTGCAACAAGGCTTTGCGTTATCCGGGCCCCACGTTGTACCACATACTTGACGCATTTTTTTGACGCATTTTTTTAACGCATTTTTATAATAGTTAAAACTTAAAATATCTGTTTATCGTCTGTTAATTGCAGATCAAGTATATTTTTTCTATTATCTCTCTGCAAATTATATTGCAGGGAATTGAAGATGGATACCCATAGTATACTTTAAATATCTGTTTATTGTCTGTTAATATTGCAGATCAAGTCTCCCAAATGATACTATGTCTATTAACATTTTTGAAAATAAATTTATATTTTTCTATTATGTTTCTGCAAATTATATTGGAGAGAACTGAAGATGGATACCCATAGTAATATACGTCTGTAGTAAATCAGTGTGTACAAGATAAAATTATACCAGAAAAATATATAACAAAGATAACGATAAGAATGCAACAGCTGGTAGGACCATTATCTTTTGGTTCGATTAACAAAGCTCCTAAAATAGAAGATGATGTAACTTATGAAAGCTACCCATCCGGCATCCGTATCCTGCAATTATTTTGATTTCATCATTAAATGAACTAAACGCCCTAAAATAAGTGGAAATTAGTTTTAAAAAAACAATAGTAATAATTAAATGTGCATTTTAAACTATTCTTTAACAAAGACAATAAAAAGTAATGAAGTCTTAGGTGATCTGTATTTACGTTAGATGGGCCGTAAAATCCAGAAAGTTCCCAATCGAATATTTCAATCTTAAATCGAAGTCTTTATTTAACACAGAATCTTGGTGTCTGCCACTACTACCAGTAAACTACACACGCCAACACACCTGCACTACACGTATCTTATAATTTAGGCTATATTCAAACCATCATTCTATTTTTATTTTATTTTTTCGACTCGATCACTCGAATTATCATCCTTTAATTCGAATAAAACGACAAAAAAAAATAAATTGAATAATAGTATTTTTTTTTTATATATAAGTAGCATGCAAATAGTGAACTCAACAACCCAACTAGTAAAATGAATATATTCGTTGCTTTCACACCAACTCCCGTAGAAACAAATATCTTGAAGTGAAAACGAAAGATATGGGCTTGTGAAGCTTTACAAGCCTTATTAAAAGCCCACGTCAAATTGAAGGTCAAAAGATATTTTACTCGGCTTAATGGATTCTACAAAAATGGGACTTGCGTTTAGGTTCAGAGCACCTTAACAACAAAAGATACATTTTATATTACAGAAACACCGGAACAAAGATCATAGACATTATACATTAAACAACACCAACTACTTATGATCTTCCTCTTAAACTTATAAAAAAAAAAGAAGAGAGAAGAGACCAGAATTTTCCCGGTCTCCAAATCCTAAAACCCCTTCACAGAGGTTGTTGAAGAGTAACCACCAAGGGACTTGTCACATTTCGTTTCCCGTCTGACCAAACTACATAACCAGTCTCCACACTTGTCGCTCCTGGTGATAGCTTCACCTCCGTCGTCTTAACCCTAACCACAAAATTCAGTTTCTGACCGACCCGTCTGAACGATAGCTTCTCCGGCTCAACCGTCACCGTCGTCCCTCTCGGCGGCCTAATCTTAACCTCATAAACCGAATCCGAATCTCCCACATTTGTCACCGTCCTAATGAAATGTGTCGACATTTTACTCTCTCCATACTGCTGAAACACGACGGAGAACGACGGGTAGTTCAAATTCCCAACGTGTCCCGCACGTCTAGCACCGTCGCAGTCCGCCTTGCGCCGTGTTATCGTCACAATGTTGGCTCCTGTGTAGTTTGAGTTACACAAGAAATTGATGTAATCGTAAGATGTTATATCGTAGACTAGTCCTGGATCCATAGCTTTGGTTGGATGAACATGACCCGAACCATAATCCATAACCGACGATGTATTGCCGGTAGACTCGTCCCGCATTGGTTCATCTCGGTTATCGACCGTGTAAGCCGTCGTCATCAATGCGGATCTTATCGCCGCCGGGCTCCAATCGGGATGAGCCGCCTTGAGCAGAGCGGCTAGACCTGAGACGTGCGGGCACGCCATCGAAGTGCCTGATAAAATGTTGAATTCCGTTCTCCGGTTATCGGAAGGAACACCCGATGGACCGATCCGGTCAGGCCAAGCAGCGAGGATGTTCAAACCGGGTGCGATTACATCCGGTTTAATAATGTCCGGTGTCTCTGGATTAGGCCCACGAGCGGAGAAAGATGCAACGACGGGTGCGGGTCGGATTCCAAGTCGGGTCCCTTTGAAAACGATCGTGGCCGTTGGATGTTTCGATGAAGAACGAGATTTGGATGATTCGGAGATGTATCTCCTGATTTCATCTCCCCCAGAAGCACCAACAGATGTCGCCGGTAACACGTGGCAATCGGCGACTAAACCTTCTCCGTCGAAGACACCGTTCGCTATAATCATCCCCAAGCCTCCGTTTTTCCTCACGATTTCACCTTTCGTTGCTCTAGAATTGATTCCTCTATCGCAAAGTACGATTTTGCCCTTGACCAAATTCGGATCCAACGAGCCTTCTATACACAGAGACGAAGAGTAACCGTCGCCGCCGAGCAAGCTACCACCGTATACAAGCGGGTACATCCGATTCGGATCCAGATCCGGTCCACCGTAAACGCTAACACCAGGAATCGTTTTTCCGTTACCGAGTTTCACACTCGCCGGAAAATCGCGATCGATTGTTCCCGCTCCAACAGTCGTCATCCACGGAGCGACGTTAGTCACCGTTAAAGCACCGGGTCCTCCGTTACCGGCGGAGGCGGAGACGAATATTCCTCTGTCGATTGCTCCGAACGCTCCAATGGCGATGGCGTCTAGGTAATAAGGAACCACGACGCCTCCAACGGAGAGAGAGACGACGTCGACTCCGTCGGAAACTGCCGTGTCGAAAGCGGCTAAGATATCGGAGTCGTAGCAGCCGGAGTTCCAACAGACTTTGTAGGCGGCAAGTCTTGCCTTCGGAGCCATCCCGGAAGCGACGCCGCGAGCGTAGCCGAGCGTGGAGGCGGGAAATACGTAACGACCGGCGGAGATCGAGGCGGTGTGTGTTCCGTGGCCGTCGGAGTCACGAGGAGAGCGAAACTCCGTCGTTTCGTTCATCTTTCCGTTGGTGGCTTCGTACCCGCCGCAGAAGAATCTCGCTCCCACGAGTTTCCTGTTACACGCCTTTACCGGAAAATCCACTGAAGCTACGCATTGGCCTTTCCATTTGGCTGGAACAGGACCAAGACCACGGTCGTCAAAGCTAGGCCTTTCTGGCCAAATACCCGTGTCGATAACTCCGATAACAAGATCCGACCCGAAATCGGATTCCTCGAGGAGACCCGCTTTGTCGGTGGACCTAAGGCCGAGAAACTCCGGGGAGCGAGTGGTGTGCAAGTGACGGACTTGCTCGGGGATAACGGAGATGACGTGAGGATGGTCTAAGAGCTGACGAGCGTCTTGAGCGGTGAGTCTAGCGGAGAAGCCGTGGAAAACGGTGTCGTATGTGTGGATGATGGAGGGAGGAGTGGAAGTGAGTGAGGAAAGAGAGGATGTGTACCAGTGACGGTGAGTAGGGAAGATTGAGGGTTTAGCTTCGTGGTCTACGTGGACGATGTAAGTCAAATGGTTTAGGTCGTTTATAGAGGAAGAAGAAGAAGCTGAAAAAAGAGACCAGAGTAAGAGGAAGAGAAAGAAGAAGAAATCCATTGACGGAGAAAAAAAGGTTTTCTTTTTCTTTTTGCTGATACTTGATTTGGTTAGAGAGTGGAAGAAGAAGAAGAAGAAGATTGATGAGGGTACCACATTGCTATTTGATTTTTTTGGGTGGAAGCGGAGAAAGAGAGGAAGACTTGTGTAGTGTGTACAGAGCAAGCTAGCAGAAGAAGTTGTGCCACTGTCTAGTGTGTAGTGTCTGTGAGCTGGAGGCACTGTCTCTTTTTTTGGCTTTCCTTATTACGAAAACACCCTTATACTTTTCAAAAGGAAAAAAAGAATAGTGTATAGATCGAAATCTATTTTCTCACATAGCTATCGTCCAATAGAAGATATAATACAAATCTTTATATTCAGTTGATAATGTACTCGTCTGCAGTTATGTTTCAGGTGACAAGATTCTTATGTTTCGTTCACGGGGTTTTGAATTTATATTTGCATAATGCAGTGATGGGGTATTTATTTGTCGACTGTTTTTTTTATATTTAATGCAATTTTTTATTCCATCTTTGTAATTAAAAGAGTTTGAATGATTCGAACTTCAAAGCCTAAAAAACAAAAGTACTAAAGTAAGGATTGTTCATGTCATCTGAACCGGTGGATGTCATGTGGGTCCCATGCTTGTTCGACACGTGTTTGAATCGCTCGTGTAGATTCATAGGATTACTTTTTAGTTTTAATTAATCTAAACAAGGATGAGAATCATGAGACATTGTGATATATTTTTGTCAAATGTTGATTATTAGATAGATGTAATACTTGACCCAATTAATTTATCATATGCTATGAATTATGATCGACTTATTGTTAACTGTGAAGGGAGTAGTAATTATTATTGTTGTTAACAGTTAGCTTACAAACACTATATTTGGACCTTTGGAAGCATAATGTAATAATTACGAATTACGATGTGTCCATATTCCATAGAAAATCCACCTGAGTAGGTCGATGTTTATTGCGTATTTTTAAATTGATTCCTATATTCTAACGCATTTTTAATAACCCAGAAGCCAAAAGCAGTGTGTTCACGTGTTTTTGTTTGTTTCTGCTGTTTTTCTTTCTCTTTTTACATGAGCATACCATCTAAAATAATAGTATGAAGACCATAGTAATTAAGGATGATAAAAACTAGTTTAATAACAAAATGAACCCATTCAACTCTGTATTGGTGGGCGATACGGACCATAACTAGGTCCAACACTCAGGCGTATTATTTATTTTTTTAAGAATTATTCATCCGAATATCCTGGTTTCCGTTTAAATTATTAACCTATTTAAGTTGGGACTTTGTAGACAATAAAATTAGACTATTATATATTTTGATTCTAATTACATGCAATTATTGACTATGGAGGAAGTCTAGTAATGAGTGGACGCTCTCTAAAGCGGGACAAATTGGACCATCTTTCTCTCATTAATAATCTTCTTTTTCACTTTTCCTTTTAGTTTTGAACCAAAGTCGAATCAACCTTCGACCTTTTAGATCCTTAATTGTTATTTTATTTTTTCATATCTAAGTATTTGATTTCATGGGGAAAACAATAATTTCAGTATAGACTTACGTTTGCAAATTCAATTGATGGGCGTTAAACGAGCTTAAATCTAGCATCTGAATACAGGAAAAGTAATGGGCCTCCAGTTTCTTACGCCACTAAGACAAATTAGTCATATATATCAATAAGTATCGAATGAATTTCGACAACCTAAATTTTGTGGTTGGTATCGAATGAATTTCGTCAAGATTCAAATTATTTAAGTAAAGTACCATTGCAGATATACGCAGAAAGTTTATAATGTTGCGTTTATTAAATCTACTATCTCTTCACCAAATCCTTTTTATTGCTTGCAGCATATCAGATGTGATTTATCTTTTTACTGCGATTACACATTTTAAAACACACATAGAATAAATCGAACTACGCATCGATGGGCCTTTAGATTCGGCATGCGTGATCAGAATTCCACGCCGATCCACAACCATAGCAAAACTGAAATCCACACCTACGAAAAAAACCAAAACCAAAACACACAAAAAAGCTGAAATAATCGTATATAATTAAAACAATTCCAAAAATAATTTGTAATGAATATTAGTATATATTACTTACCTGCAACTTATATGCATACAACCATCGACTTTCTCGACGTAGAACTTGCAACTAGGACACCTCCTCCACTGCTTATTCTTGGCCATCTGAACCAACATCGCATCTTCTTCGTCACTACTCTTCTTCTTCGTGTTCCCAAATTTCTGGAACTCCTCACAGCCAATCCCCGCATGCCACGTCACCTTACACTGCACGCAGAAGAGTCTGTGACAAGAAGGACACTCGGTCTGCGTCACGTTAGCATTATTTCCATCACCAACCATCATCGCCGAACAGTCTTTGAACGGACAGTAGAACTTGTCCCATGACGAGATCAACGACTCGCACAAGATTTTCTCCCAACGCTCGAACACATCTTTAGGGATCAGATCTCTGCACGTGTAGGGCTCTATCAATCGCGTGCACTCCACGTCAGGGCATTTGATCCTCGCTGAGTTTTCTTTAATCTTGGAAGCCACGTAACGAATGGTGCACCCGGTGCAGTAGGAGTGAGTGCAGGTGATTGTTCCTCGGAAGATGTCGGAGAGAGGCTTTTCGTCCATACAGATCATACATAACTTTCTAGATGGCTCGGTGGATTCATTCTCGATTTTTATCTCCGGTTCTTGCTTAATCCATGTGGCTAGATTCGTCTTTACTTGGGGATTATTATTGATCTCCGCCGTTGAAGCGATTAGGGAAGAGAACAAAGCTTCTTGGAGATGAAGCTCCGTCGCGTAGTTAACATCGGAGATTGGGAAAACTTCATCGTAATCGAATAAAGCAGAGAAGTAGGATTCATCAACCAACACATCCACGTCCATCTTTGTTTTTGACGATGATGATGATCCATCATTCAAGATATCGTTTTGTTTCCATTAGAGTTGGGCTCATTCACCTTAAATAATGACGTTGGATGTTGAATTCGAAAGGTCTTTTTTCGTTAATTGCATAGGATTAATTAGTATTGATGAAGATTAACTAAGCATTTGAATATGAAATTTTAAGCAATTAAATTATAGTCAAATGCCGTTTGGTTATCTCTAGAAACAATAATAAAAAAAAAACCTTCCACATTCACATTATAGTCAAATGCCTTTTGGTTAACTCTATCAAAATATCCACTATAAGTAATTCCGTCTTACGAAATTGGCAAATTGTTAGAAGAAGAAAAACCCCTCAAAATTGAAGAACTGATTCAGATATTATTAAAGCTATTACAAGTTTTATGCTCTGGCGAATTGGTGATTTTCAATTCCAAAAAGAATCATATACCTACTAATACTATCTATATTCTACACAATGCTAGAGCAATCAATTTGGCAGAGAGTTATAGAAAATATGAATATTACTTTCCTATATAAAAATGTTAATTATAAACTACTCGGCCTGATTAAGACAAGTTAGAACTATACTTTGGTTAATATTACGGTAATTTAATTTTCTTTTCCATCAAATATTCTCTATTTATTTATATATTTTTTTTTTTGCAGCAAATCGAATAATGTTATCTCGCAAACATTAGTTGAAGATGTAATACTGCCTTAGAGTTCTGCATGCGTAATGAGAATCCTTCCACGCCGATCCACAACGATAGCAAAACTGAAATCCACACCTACAAAAAACATCAAAAAAAAAAAATTAAACAAACCCAAATATTAATGTTTAATTAAAACAATTCCTTATTCATAAGGAAAATTGTAATGAATATATTATATATTACTAACCTGCACCTAATATGCATACAGCCATAGGAGGCATAGGATTTTCCGACGTAGAACTTGCAACTAGGACACCTTCTCCACTGCTTATTATTAGCCATCTGAATCAACACAGCATCTTTGTCATCACTACTCTTCTTCTTCGTGTTCCCAGAACTCTGGAACTCCTCACAGCCAATCCCCTTGTGCCACGTCACCTTACACTGCATGCAGAACAGTCTGTGACAAGAAGGACACTCGGTCTGCGTCACGTTAGCACTAAATCCATCTTCAACCATCATCGCCGAACAGTCTTTGAACGGACAGTAGAACTTATCCCGCGGCGAGAACAACGACTCGCACGAGATTTTCTCCCAACGCTCGAACACGTCTTTAGGGATCAGATGTCTACATATGTAGGGATCTAGAAAACGCGTGCACCCCACGTCAGGGCATTTGATCCACCCTGAGTTTTCTTTGATCTTGTCCGCTACGTAATGGATGGTGCACTCCGTGCAGTAGGAGTGATTGCAGTCAGTGGCTCCTCGGAAGATGTCGGAGGAAGGCTTCTCGTCCATACAGAGCATACATAACCTTCTAGATGGCTCGGCGGATTGATTCTCAACTTCTTTCCACCATCCTTCTCGCTTAATCCATCTGGTGTGATTCATTTGTACTTGTAAATTATTGTTGAGAGTATTAGAGGTGGCTCTGATCTTGTCGAATGTAGAGCTTATCCTATTATGCACAAGGATCATATATACAGGTACAAAGTAGGGCATCAAGATTTCGCAGTTATTGAAGATTCTGTAAACTATACAAAGGAATCTTGAATAATAAATATAATTAATTGAATATCAGCATTAAAAAACTACTCATGCTTAGCATGAATGTAAACTATAGTTTTGAGTAATAAAGATATATTACTCATGCTTAGCATGGGTGTAGGTGCAAAATCTAGTATTGAGTAATAAAGGTTTTTTTTTTATATACTTTACACCGTTGAAGCCACTAGGGAAGAGAACATAGCTTCTTAAAAATGGAAAGATGGTTAGCGTTATTTGGTTTGGGAAGTCTAGTAAAATCAAAAGTATTAATTTGTTTGTAAATCTTGTAAAATGGAAATCAACATTTTTGTTATATAAGAATACTAATTGATTGTATATATATATATATATATATATAAGTCATATATGATATTGGGTAAAGACACACACACGAAACTTTTAGGAGAACTTAGATCCGGAACTGATTTTGCCCAATCCAAGAAACAACTGTATCCAGATCCGAGTTAGCTTATTAATTGCAAAGATTTAGGATTTAGGGTTTAGGCGTATTACTTTTTACCTAAAACTTTAAAAATAGTTTATATTATGAAAAGGAAAAAAATTCAAAACAGCTTATATAAAGAAACGGAGAAAGTATTATTTTTGGTCATAGTTAATTTGAAAGTGATTGGTTAGAATTTTATAAACCACTCGGCATGATATGCATTTTTTTTCAGTTTAATGAGTATACCATAAGTTATTATATTCTTTGGGGAACAATGTTCGGAATGGGTCTTTTGGATTTGTCACACGGTTAGTTCGTGGTGGTCATTTTTTTGGGAAGCAACGAATTTGTTGGATTTTAGTAAACCAAAAGAAATGAACAAAACTCCGTTCTTAGATCACCGGATCAGATGCCTTGTTACACCCTGTATTACGAGAGGAGACGCTCGCGTTACTTCTGTGTGCCGGTTAAGTTAACTGGGAGGCGAGTAATTGGATTTTAAATGGTATCAGCGTTTAGACGATCTTCCACCAGGAGAAAAAAAGAGAGTTTAAAGATTTTCCGACATTCAAATCAAAGAAAGAACAACAAGACTGGTCAAAAAGTCGATAATACTTATGATGAGACTAGACCAAAAAGTGACCCGTGATCCACTCTGATGATAAAGGGGTTTTCCGAATGAGAAATGCATATACAAGATGAATTCACGGCAATTGACCACTTTCCATTGTAAGAAAATTAATATATCAATACGACGATAATTTTTAAAATCAAGTGTGTGGACAAGTCTAGTCATGGGCTTCGGTTTCAAATGCCAGTGGCAATTTGTCCTTACATCAACGTATATGACGATAATAATACTTTAAAAGAATAGACTACGAATATGGCATGCGTGAAAACGATCCCACGCTGATCCACAACGATAGCAAAAATTAAATCCACACCTGCGAAATAATCCAACAACCAAAATTAACACGAAAGTTAGCTTTTTAAAACACTTCCTTCTTTATCAAAGCAGAAAATAAAGAAAAAAAACACTTCATAACAAAAGGATTTGTATTATGATGAAAAAAATACTAACCTGCAATCTATATGCAAACAACCATCGACTTTCTCAACGTAGTACTTGCATCTAGGACACCTCCTCCATTGCTTATTCTTGGCCATCTTAACCAACAAAGCATCTTCTTCATCGCTACTCTTCTTCTTCGTGTCCCCAAATCTCTGAAACTCCTGGCACCGAATCCCTGCGTGCCACGTCACCTTACATTGAGCGCAGAACAGTCTGTGACAAGACGGACACTCAGTCTCCGTCACTTTAGCATCATTACCTTGATCATCATCCGCAACCATCATCGCCGAGCAGTCTTCGAACGGACAGTGGACTTTCTCCGAAGACAGGATCAACGACTCGCACAAGGCGTTGTCCCAACGCTCGAACACGTCCTTTGTGATCAGATCTCGACACGTGTACGGTTCTATCAGACGCGTGCAATCCACGTCAGGGCACTTGATCATCGCTATGTTTTCCTCTACCTTGGTCGTCACGTAACGAACGGTGCACTCGGTGCAGTAGGAGTGAGTGCAGTTATTGGTTCCTCGGACGATGTCGGAAAAAGGCTTTTCGTCCATACAGATCAGACAAAACCTTCTAGATTGTTCGGCGGTTTCGCTCTCGATTTTAATCTCCGGATCTTCCTGCTTAGTACACGTAGCGGTATCCCTTTAGAGTTGGGGATGATGGTTAATCTTAGCCGTTGAATTAATCAAGGAAGAAAATCGTTGGAGATCCCTCGCATATTTATCGGTGGTTCCGAAAACTTTGTCGTAATCGTATAAAGCAGGGGAGTAGTAATAATCTACCATTCTTGTTCTTGACGAAGATGATGATGAAGAAGAGAAGCAGGATCCCATATCGTCCTGTTTCTGTTTTTTTTTTGGGGTCTAGATGAGTTATGGCATACACTACATAGGGTGTTCATGAAGTCGAATGTGATTGCACTAGATTAAATGATTGAAATTTTCCTTTTTTTCTAAAGAAAATGGCTTTCTTATTTAAGAATAAATAGAACAAATGATTGCATAGTATAATTGAATATGTTAACATTACATATTACATATTAAATTTTACCTTTTATTGTTTATATGAAGAAACAGAATATGTTAAAATTAACATTACAGAAATACCAAAAAAATTGGAATAAGACTATATGAAGTTGAAAAATATATAACACAACTTCTCTTGGAATAAGACTATATGAAATTGGGACAATTATAGAAGAAATTACGCTGTTGTGTTCGGTACTTAAAAGTTAAAATGTGAAAGCGATTGCGATTGAAACTCAACTTCTCTTGTACTGTTATCTGTTAAAGAATGAATTTACCTTGCAAAGATATACCACAGAGACTAATAGGTAAACAAAACTTATTTATTAGTGTTAGATCACCGGGTCTGATGCCTTGTCGCAATCTGTACTATGGGAGGAGACGTCCACAAGGCGTTGTTTCTTCGCCACCGTAACATGGTGTTGAACGAATAACTGCAATTTCTTTTACTGAAGCAAGTCTATGAACCTAGAAATAACATTTAGCTTTAGAAGCTAATCTTCAACAACTGCTACTTAATGCCGACCAATAACTAAGATGGATATAGAAATGCGAATACCAATACAAATGCAATCGTGATTGCGATTTTTAAAATGAAAAAAAAACAAATGATTTAAATGTAGTTTTTTATTAGATGCATTTTTAATATACTAAAAACACATGTTTCTCATAGTTCAAGGCATATATATGGAAAATAACGATTCATCATCACTTTATATAATAACAACAGCAATGTTCAGGGTTATGAGGCTTCGAATAATCCACTAAACGACATTCTCCATTATTATACCCTGATGATATGCAGTACCCCTCGCATTCTTGTGTTCCATATGAACTCGAACATAAAATATCAAGACATTTTACACCAACCGGATCATACTTCGCTATGCTCTCTGCACATAATACGCAAACTTCGTATTAATCTAACTTCAATATAATATATATATATATATATATATATAACATACCAAATTATATTTTCAAAAGCCCATATTCTTTGATCATTTCTCAAAATTGTCCATGTTGTATATTTGGTTTAATTATTTTTATGATAAAAGCTATTTTTTTGTCAAGTATGATAAAAGCTATCAAGTTGCAGTAATTAATATATAAAAACCATACCTGATGCCAGTCCGTTTTGGATGGACAAAGAAACAGCAAACATAACAAGATAAAAGAAACTCACAAATATTTTTGTGAAACTCATTATCTCGTTTTTTGGGTATAAAGTCTACTGAAGAAAATAAATTGGTTAAGATCTTTAACAAGCTCTATTTATACATCTTTTGGTCTTGGTATTAAACATATAAATCCCATTATTTACTTCCAAGACCTCAACATTTCTGCAATTTAAAAAAAAAAATATTACCATAAACAGTTTTTTCATATTGGTTAAAAACATCGTATTTGGTAATAAATATTATAAACATTTAATTTTTATATTTGTTAAACATCATATTTGGTAAAAAAATATTTGAATAAGTATTAACATTTAATTTTCATATATCTGTCAAAGACATCATATCTCGGTAAAAGGTATTATTTGTCTCGTATATTTTTGTTTATAGATGATTTGGACCTTTTTTTTTTTATGGAATGTAGTATATGTAGTCAAATAATCTTGTTGTGAGGTTCTGAAAACCTTATCGGAGGTTCTGAAAACTTTGTCGTAATCGTATAAAGCAGGGGAATAGTAATAATCTACCATTCTTGTTCTTGACGAAGATGATGATGAAGAGAAGCAGGATCCCATATCGTCTTGTTTCTGTTATTTTTTTTTTGGGGTCTTGATGAGTTATGGCATACACTACATAGGATGTTCATGAAGTCGAAGGTAATTGCATTAGATTAAATGCTTGAAAATTTCCTTTTTTCTAAAGAAAATGGCTTTCTTATTTACGAATAAATAGAACAATTGATTGCATAGTATAGTTGAATATGTTAACATTACATATTAAAATTTTACCTTTTATTGTTTATATGAAGAAACAGAATAAGTTAAAATTAACATTACACAAATACCAAAAAAATGGAATAAGACTATATATTAATTATTGTAAAAGAATATAATAATTGGAATAAATTGGGACAAAATTATAGAAGAAATTACGCTGTCGGCTTTGGTACTTAAAAGTTAAAAAATGTGAAAGCTTTAGTGAACATTCCGACTGCGATTGCGATTGAAACTCAACTTCTTGTACTGTTATCTGTTAAAAAACGTTACCTTGTCAAAAAAGAAATCAAGAAACTTTGCATAAGAATGGCCTTATAACGGTAGGACGAATTCAGCATGCGTGAAGAGCGTGACGAGAAGTCCACGCTGATCCACATTTATAGCAAAACTGAAAACCACACCTACAAAAATAATCCAAAAGACAAATAGTATCAAATTAAAAACGAAATTTAATTTTGAATAACACTTCCTAATGTATTGAATGATCATAAAAAACTGACCTGCAGTTTATATGCATACAGCCAACGATTTTCTCAACGTAGAATTTGCAGCTAGGGCACCTCCTCCACTGCTTCTTCTTGGCCATCTCAATCAGCATTGCATCTTCTTCATCGCTACTCTTATCCTTCTTCTTTTTGTTGGTTATGGTTAATATTGCCTTACTAACTACGCTTCTCTTCATCTTCGTGTTCCCGAATCTCTGGAACTCCTGACACCCAATGCCCGCGTGCCACGTCACCTTACATTGAGCGCAAAACAGTCTGTGACAAGAAGGACATTCGGTCGCCGTCACTCTAGCATCATCGTCCACCACCATCATCGCCGAGTGCCAAAATGAGGAATCGATGTGATCTTATTCCCTTGGAGGTTTCCCTCTTATATACACAATGTATGACCGTGATGATCAATATGAATCCCCACAAACCAGGGATCTTACACAGCTAATCATTCCCAACATTCACGGGATACTAAATATATGATATCCAAATATAACTACAACAATATCACTAATATATCGCTAATACTCCCCCTCAAGATGGCGCGTGAAGGTCGCGAACGCCCATCTTGCACAACAAAAATCGAAACTGCCGGGAACCGAGCGGTTTAGTCAATATATCAGCAATCTGATCTGTCGTCTTGACATGATGAGTAACAATGGTACCATCCTGAACTCCATCACGAACAAAATGGCAGTCTACCTCGATATGCTTCGTACGTTCATGTGAAACTGGGTTTGCTGCAATGTCAAGAGCAGCTTTGTTGTCGCAGAACAGAGACATCGGTGCCGCTTGTTTAATACCCAGAGTTTCGAGAATCGCCTTTGTCCAAATAAGCTCACAAAACGCAAGTGCCATAGACCGATATTCTGCTTCAGCAGTCGATCGCGATACCGTCTTCTGCTTCTTGGTCTTCCAAGAGATGATGGAATCCCCTAAACAGACAATGTAACCTGAGAGAGAACGACGTGTGAGTGGACACGCTGCCCAGTCGGAATCACAATGCGCAGAGAGAGTGAGATCACTCTGTGAACTCAACAAAATTCCTTGCCCCGGTGAACCTTTGAGATACCGAACAAGACGCAGAGCAGCGGTCCAATGTTTCTCTCTCGGATGCGCAAGAAACTGAGCGAGGATATGAACAGAGTAACTAAGCTCAGGTCTAGTCACAGCTAAATAGACCAGTCGTCCCACTAACCTTCTGTATTTCTTCGGATCAGACATAAAGGGACCATCAGCTCTGGCTAAGTTATGATTTTGTTCCATAGGAGTATCAGCTGGTTTTGCACCGAGAAGTCCACACTCTGCCACAATGTCTAGTGCATATTTTCGTTGAGACAAGTAGATGCCTTCTTTTCCTCGTGAGACTTCAATTCCCAAAAAATATTTTAACACCCCCAAATCCTTCATGTGAAAACACCGATGCAAGTAGTCTTTAAATCGAGCAATCAACGCAGAATCATTTCCACCAATGATGAGATCGTCAACATAAACCAGTACATAGATTATCGAAGATCCTTTGAGCAGAGTAAAAAGAGAGTAGTCCGATTTACTCTGTTGAAAACCGAAACCCAACAAAGCCGTCGAAAGCTTAGAAAACCAGCAACGTGGAGCTTGTCTTAACCCGTACAACGACTTGTTAAGCTTGCAAACCTGATTTGGTGTGGACGAATGAAAACCAGGAGGCAAGTGCATATATACTTCCTCTTCCAAGTCGCCGTGGAGAAAAGCGTTATGGACGTCCATCTGATACAATTCCCAGCCTTTAGCTGCAGAAACACCAAGTAAGATACGAACCGTCGTCATCTTGACTACCGGCGCGAACGTCTCCTTGTAATCGATGCCCTCTTGCTGACGATTACCAAGTGCAACTAATCGTGCTTTGTATCGCTCAATTGTGCCGTCTGAGTTAAATTTGATTTTAAACACCCATTGACATCCAATAGCTTGTTTACCTGGAGGAAGAGTCATTACCGTCCATGTACCAGTGTCTTCAAGAGCACCAACCTCCCCATTAACAGCTTCTCTCCAGACTTTATGTTTGAAAGCCTCTTTGTAGGATCGCGGCTCTGTCACAGACGTGATCGCAGCAGAATAAGCTCGGTGTGTGGGAGACAGCCTGTGGGAAGAAAAGAAATCGGTGAGAGGATATACGCAAGAACCAGTGTCATCAGAGTCATGTCCAACAGTGCTACCAGCCTGAGCCGCATAGATCTGATATGGTTTGAGAAGAACAGATTGTGTCTTGGTTCGTTTCCCACGTCCAAGTTCCTCTGTGTGAACATGATCGGAAGAACTAGAGTCTGACAATGGTAACGACGGGCTCGTCAAAACTGGTTCTTCAGGTAAGACCGAAACTCCCCCTTGTGATACAGACGTAGAAACTCCCCCTGACGAAGTAGGCACTCCCCCTGTCGTCAAGTCACTAGCAAACTCATCATCAAACACAGCTGGATGCGTGTGAGACAGAGGAAGTGAAGTGGTGACTTCGTCAGGCGTAGACATTTCTGCAAAAGGGAAAATATGTTCGTGAAAAATAACATCGCGAGAGGAGAATGTCGTCTCCGTCTCGAGATCAAATAGCAGCCAACCTTTCTTCCCCAAAGGATAACCCACGAACAAACAACGAACACTGCGATCAGAAAACTTATCGTTGTCGCGTGAAATTCGCCGAGCAAAGCACAGAGAACCAAATGTCCGCAGATCATCATAAGAAGGAGCCTGATTAAACAGTAATTCATATGGGGTTTTGTTGTTCAAGATCTTCGACGGAGTCCGGTTAATTAAGTATGTAGCCGCGAGCACACTTTCCCCCCAGAAACGCGTTGGTAAATGTGCTTGAAAAAGCAGAGCACGTGCGACATTCAGAATGTGCCGGTGCTTACGCTCAACCCGGCCGTTCTGCTGCGGTGTCGCAACACACGAAGTCTGCTGAGAAATCCCATTATCAGCAAAAAATTGTTTTAGACAAACGAATTCTGATCCATTATCAGATCGGACAATACGGACACGCTTGTCAAACTGCCTTTCAACAAAGGAAATAAACGTTTTCAGAGCAGTGGGGGCTTCTTTCTTCTCAAGTAGCAAGATTGTCCACACAGCTCTCAAAAAATCGTCGACGATGGTCAGAAAATACCGAGCACCACTTAACGATGGTTCACGATAAGGGCCCCAAAGGTCGCAGTGGATCAGTGCAAAAAAATCATCAGCTTTATTATTTGAATCAGAAAACTTATTTCGAGTCTGCTTAGCTCGTATACAAATGTCACAAACTTTTTCAGAACTCGCTGAACTACTAGAAAAGGAACCAACATGCGATAAAAGAGAAAGAACTGCTGATGAAGGATGACCCAAGCGACGATGCCATAGCTCTCTCGTGTTCACACTCCCTGCGCAACCAGAATGAGCTGCAACAACACCCTTGAAGTGATAAACGCCATCCTGTTGTTTACCCGCACCAATCAAAGTCCTCGAATTGAGGTCCTGTATCACACAAAATTTCCTCGTGAACAGCACAAATCCAGCAATATCATTCAACAACTGAGCTACTGAAATCAGAGTAATGGAGAGATGAGGAGCATAGAAAACACGATTTAGAACAAGTCGGCCTCCAAAGTTAAGTCGTCCAAATCGAGTAGCCTAGGTTAGTTCTCCATTACGCAAAGTGATCGGACAAGGATCAATAGATTCCAAATCAGTCAACAGATTAATATCACCCGTCATATGATGAGAGGCACCAGAATCAATAATGATGTCATATCGACTATTTGGACCAAACAGATAAAGTTTCTCTGACTTACCCGAGAGCTTCTCTGACCCATTCTGCTTTTGACTGTTAAGAAGATTGGCTAGAGATGCCCACTGATCGGGTGTGAAGTTTGGTATTCCGGGAGCTTGATTGTCATCGCCACCGGAGCTATCACCAACCGTTGCACTGTTTGCCCGGAAGTTTGAACCACGTCCTCCACCACGTCCCCTTCCTTGATCAATTCCTCGACCACGACCATTTCCTCTTCCACCCGAAGGCTTTGATTTATCAGAGTACCAATCTGGAAACCCAATCAATTGGAAACACGACGTTGCATCATGCCCCGTTTTCCCACAATGTGTACAGGTCACGGTAGATTTAGGAAACCTTCCCGCGGCAGCTTGTGGAGTTCCCGTTACTGCTGAAAGACCAACCACCGGAATTCTTTCTTCACTGCTACGCATCATCAACAAGTGCCTTTCTTCTTGCACAATTTGAGAGTACACAGACTCCAGGTTTAGATCCAACTGTCTGTTGAGAAGGTTGGACCGAGCTGTGCCAAAACGTGAAGTGTCGAGCCCCATAAGAAACTGGTGCACGCGAATCTTCTCTCGATTCTTTTCGTATTTCACCATCGAGTCGCAATCAGCGCTTTTGCAACAGCACTGAAATCCCTTGTCCAGATCTGCGAGATCATCCCACAAAACTTTGATTCTTCCAAAGTACACCTCCACCGAGTCACCATTCTGCTTGCACGCTGTAATATCGCTGTGAAGCTGATGAATTCGAGTGTCATCACTCACCGAAAAACGCCTTTGAAGACTTGTCCACATAGCCTTCGCACTGTCCACCAGAGATATCGAAGGACGAAGCTTCGTCTCAATACTGCTGTAAATCCAGCCAATCACCATCGAGTTGACCATGTCCCACTTCTCTGCATCATCGGAGTTGTCGGACGGCCGTTTTAGAGTTCCATCAACGAAACCAATCTTTCGTTTCGTACGAAGTGAGTTCAGCATCAGCTTTGCCCACCATTCGTAATTCGATCCATTCAACTGAATGGGAGTCAACACCTGCCCCGTATTATCAGAAGCATGAAGATAATACGGCGACATTAAAGAGCTTGTCTCTGCAACAGTAGTTGCAACTGTGCCAGAGTTTTCCACCGATTCAGAAGCCATTGAAAGAGAAACAGAGATTTTAAATCAGAAATTTAGAAGTGAAAGAGGTTTTGGCTCTGATACCATGCCAAAATGAGGAATCGATGTGATCTTATTCCTTTGGAGGTTTCCCTCTTATATACACAATGTATGACCGTGATGATCAATATGAATCCCCACAAACCAGGGATCTTACACAGCTAATCATTCCCAACATTCACGGGATACTAAATATATGATATCCAAATATAACTACAACAATATCACTAATATATCGCTAATACCGAGCAGCCTTGGAACGGGCAGTAGATTTTCTCCGAAGACATGATCAACGACTCGCACAAGGCTTTGCCCCAACGATCGAACACGTCCTTTGGGATCAGATCTCGAAACGTGTACGGTTCTATCAGACGCTTGCACTCCACGTCAGGGCACTTGATCCTCGCAACGTTTTCCTCTATCTTGGTCACCACGTAACGGATGGTGCACTTGGTACAGTAAGAGTGATCACAGTTAGTGGCTCCTCGGAAGATGTCCGAGGAAGGCTTCTCGTCCATACAGATCATACATGACCTTTTAGATGGTTCGTTCTCGGTTTTGATCATCGGTGCTCTCTGCTTAATACAAGTGGCGATATTCCTTTGGATTTGGGGATGATGGTTAGTCTCAGCCTTTGAAGCGACCAAGGAAGAAAACAGAGCTTCTTGGTAATGGAGATCCCTCGTATAGTTTTCGTCGTTAACTGTCAACACACCTAAGTCCATATTTGTGCTTGACGATGATGAGAACCAGGATCCCATATCGTCTTGTTCTGGTTTTTATTCCTTTGTCTTGAGTTTGGTTCGAAGTTTCGAACTCAGCTTATGCGAACAATTGTTACCCAAAAAAAAAGCTTATGCGAACAATTTACCTTAGGGTTAGGGTTTTTTGTTGATGGAGGTGGAGAGTAAGAAGGGGACGAGGGATAGCTGCGGAGATGTGTTCCGGTAATTAAGTGATACAGCGTCGTCGTTTTATCGTATACCGAAGATGAAGGATGCAGATCTTCTCCTAGGCATCGAATCGAATCGAATCAAATCTCACGGAACCCATATAATTTCATTATTTTCTGGTATTTAACTATTAACTAATCAGAGATATACACCGCGCTTTGAATAAGTTATGGAAAATAATCAGTTGGGTCCTTAAACATGTAACTTTCTTCACTTATAACCCCCAAGCATATGCAATTACCAAATCCATCTTGAATGATTAACTAATTTGTTGTTTAGGCCCATCTTTCAACGTTTACAATTTTAAACGAAAAAAGGAAAGCTTATATACAGTCAGTTTACTGATTGAGACTCTTATCTTACAAGTAACATTAGTTGAAATTATATAATCCATCTCAATTATTAATTTGTCATTTGGTTCCATCTTTTAACTCTTAAAAAAACAAATAACGAAGAAAAGAGAGCTTACACTCACTTATTGAAAGTTGAAACTATCTATCTTACATGACTCTAGTTGTTTCCTGATTAGAAACAACGATACAAAATTTGTGGAAGTTAAAAAAAAAAAAAACTAATTTACAACCCAAAAAACTCATCAATTAGCACCTGTTTAATAAAGTTTTTACCTTTTATTACAGTTTACAGTTGATAAGACTATGCGTTAAAAAAAGTCCGATGATGAAAGAGTGATCAACTTGTGACTCCACCATCATCGTCAAAACATCTTCTCCTAACTCTAAACCATTCCTCAATTTTTTTCTCTTCACTTCTGCAACGATTCTTCCACAATTGTCCTCGATTCCTAAACTTGATCCCCTAGTGACCATCTTATAACAATATTGTTCATCGTTTCTACACGATCCCGTTATGACTCTATACGAAGAAGATGAATCTTTGTTTGGAATCTGAAAAATATTATTTTTCAGACGAAAATATTCTAAGTTTGTTGTTGATTCAGCTGTCCGAGATGGTCTATATCCTTCCCAGGTCTTGAACAATCCAAATTTCTACCAAAAAAAAAAGAAAAGAAATTAATAGTTAGTTTTTTTTGCAACCAGAAAGAAAGGAACTTGCATGATATGAAAAACAATATTGAGACGTGTGTCTACCTGTCTACGTAAGGTAAACAAGACACGACCGTGTAAATCCATAAGAAAAACTTCTCGGCAGCTCTTAGAATTATAATTATCGACACGATAAATTATGTTTCCTTTGGAATCGAAGACGGTGCAACCATTTGTATTGAACACCAACGACTTCATCCAAATCGTGAAGCTCTCTTTCCCCGTCGTCAAGTACGGAGAACTTGTTTCTTCTCCGGCGCCGGAGGTTGTCTGGTAGGGATGAATCTTCACCATAGTTTCCGCTGGACAGATTCGATTCTGCCAAGCTTTTGCCTCGTAAGGTCGTCGGTATATTTGCATAAAATATATCTATATCGACTATCGAGACAGTGATTCAATTTTTTTTTTTTTTTAACGATTTTATTTGGTGGACATAAATGGCTAAAACTTGGGTTTATATACACAACCGAGTTGTCGAAGTTACTTACTTTGTTCGTTTGTGATTAATTTAAGTCAACTTAATGATTGTCTACTAGTTTATTAATATTCGATGTTCAAAGTAATTAAGTTCTGATCACATTTTAGCCCAAAAAAAGTCTTATCACATTATTAAGCTTCCACGTGTTTTAGAAGAAAGTTGGTCTCATTATAGGTTTGAATCTCCAGTTCTTTTTATAATTGTTAATTATGCATGTTATCTCGAGTTATTTATAACATTTTCTGTTGTGTATATTAATATGTGAACAGCTTGATATCGATATCAAGGTATTCTTCCACATGTTTAATGTGAAATCCTAACGACAATCTTTAGAAAAGAAAAAAAGAAAAAGATACTAAATTTATAATTTAACTATATATAATCTATATAGATCATATATATATATATATATGGAGCTCTAGGTAGCTTGAGAAGTTGCTCCTACCATTTTGAGTTGTATTTTCTCGCTGTGTATGTCTCAATTAGTTTAATAACATACTTCAATAAAAAAATAAAAATGGCATTTGACATATTAGCTCAGATTTCGTTTAACATACCTCTATATATTAAATTTTATATAATCACTTTTCGTGGTATAAACTATAAAGATCACACGATATCAGCAACCACATAGAAACAAACTAAATTATTCGATGCTTAATACTGTACAGGCATTATATCTAAATATACGTATATCTATATCTATATATATACATATATATGGATATACATCGTCACGCTAGAGTTTTTTTTTTTTGAAGTGTATCGTTTACCCTAAGATAAAATATGTACAGTACGTATGATTATATAACTTTTGTAATTATGTTATAATTATTGAAAATTTGGTAGTCACTGTAAATGGAGTTGAAATCGACGAAGAGTGCATTGTGTCACAGGTTATTTTAGGTCTTAGGCGGATAAGCGTCAGGCATCATTACCCTTTGTTTCTGTCTTAATTATATATTCTGGTTTCTTTCTTTAATCGTGCAAACTATAAATTAGGTTTTAGTTTGTCGTATTATTTTTTATACACTTTAATTGAGTAATATCAAATTTCTGGCATTTTGAACTTTTCTCGTGGCTGACGGATTCCCGAAATGATACTAAACAGCAAGTTGAAGTATATTATTGGACGAGATAACTGACAAAAAAGAAATACTTTGAAATCGAAAAATAACCGCTTTTGTTATACCAGGTAACAAATTATTAATTAGTTGATTTTCGCATAGTTTTATGATAGTATATTTTTATGTCCTAAAATCATCTGTCTTAAACATTATATATAGACTATGTATCTCGATTTAATTAGATTTCGAGTTCAAAAATCAAAACCTAATTACCTTTTTTGAAATGTTTATAGTTCACGCTTCATGGTATGGTAAGGTTGTAATACTCGTAAGAAAACACTAATAACGACACTTTAACCTCGTGTTACTTTTTTCCATGTGATTGCGTTAGTCTACGAGTTTTTTTTTGCGTTAGTCTACGAGTTTCATTGTTTAAGATGACAAATTGATGACATCTTCTGACATAAGAATTTTGAAGCATTAATTATATGAACTTTAATCACTAAGTGTCATCATCCGTTACAATTCCAATTTAGCTGACACAAACGGTCCAATATATATACCTTTTTGGAGGTGCCTTTTTGTGCCCTTTTGTGCCTTTTTTGTGTTAGGATAAGCACCAGGTCCATATATCGATTACCGACAAAAAGAGAAGAACTTTTTTAAAAAAAATTGTTAGATTATTTAAACCAATATATGATATAGTGTATGAAGTATTTAATTTAATTGAAGTATTAGGTAGCCTAATCTTATTATTTTTCAAGCATATATATGGATCTCTCTACTGGTGTGCAAAAGGCCAATTACAAATTTAATATTTATCTATGTGTGAGTGTACAGTATATATATCCTAAATAAATATTATTAAAAGAACACTTTTTTGGGGCCATTTTAAGAAACTGGAATGGGCACATAAGATTCGAATGCTTGATGTATAAACATAAGCTTGTAAATTATTTTTGGGAGGGTAAATAGTGCTTATAAGTAAACGAAGTTATAACAGCAAATTATAGGTAAGAGGAAAAAAATCAAAATTTTAAACTAATAACTGCCGTACAGAAATAAACAAAACGTTCCACTAATTTGCATAGTACATACCATTTTTCAAAACCTTACTTTCTGCCACTTATCCAACTCCAAACGGGATTATGCATTTGTCTTTTTCTTTGTTGTTGTCGTCACAGATAGACCTATTTGGTCTACAATTTTAAAAGGTTCCTAATTTCAGGATTTGCATTAATGTGGCTTAGTGTAATCATTTATGTACCTGAGCTTTATTGCTATCATTATGGGTGGCTCAAGTTTCTTCGACACCGTAACATAATGTTGAACGAATAACTGCAATTTCTTTTGCCAAAGCAAGTCTATGAACCTAGAAATAACATTTACCTTTTTTTTTTTTTGATAAAGGATAACAATTAGCTTAGAAGCCAATCATTAACAACTGCTACTTATTTGCGTGTTGACCAATAACTAAAGGATAAAAAAATACGGATGCAATTACAAATTCAATCGCGATTATGGTTTTCAAGAAGAAATAAACAAGTGATTAAAATTTAATAGATGCATTTTTAATATAGAAAAAACACATGCTTCTCATAGCTAGTTAAAGGCAAATATAAGAAAATCAACGGATCATCATCACTTTATAAAATAACAACAACAATGAAGTTCTTGCTTCGAAGGATCCAATAAAAGACATTCTCTATTTTTGTACCCTGATGATATGCATTTCCCCTCGCATTCTTTTGTTGTATATGTACTCGTACATAAAATATCCAAGCATTTTACACCAACCGGATCATACTTCGCTTTGCTCTCTGCACATAATACACAAACTCCCTATTAATCTAACTACAATATAGATATAACATACCAAATTATAATTTCAATATTCTTTCATCATTTCTCAAAATTATCCATGTTGTAGATTTCTTTTATTTTTATGATAAAAGCTACTTCGTTTTTTTTTTTTGTTTTTGCTAAACGATTGTCTATTTAGAAGCATGGGAATGTAAATGTTACAAGCCCAAAAGGCCTAATTAGCCCATACAAAAGACTGTAAGTGAAACAAGTGATGAAGCCAGTGAAGAGAATAATTTTTTTGTCTCAGAGCTGCAGAGTTGTCCATAATCCAAGGCTTCAGATTTGAGAGGGAGCAGC